GCTGTGGTGGTTTCAACTGATTTTTCTCCTTATGAAGGGTCATGTTTGCATGACTGGTAATTTTTTATTGGAGAACCAGACATTGTGAATTTTACATTTTTGGGTGCTTGTTAATTTTGGATTTCTGTAAATGTTCTTGGACTTTGTTCTGGGATGCAGTTCAGTTATTTAGAAACAGTTTGATTCCTTCAGGGCTTGCTTTTGAGATTTGTTAGGTGGGATCTAGCAATGTTTGAACTAGGGCTGACAAATCCCCACTACAAGGCAAAGCCCTTCTGAGAGTTCTGACCAGTGCTCCATAAATTATGAGGTTTTCCGATCTGGCTGATGGGGACAGGCACTGTCCAGGCTCTGTGTGACTTCTGGCTGTTGTTCCGGCCCATTGTTTTTGGGTGATTCTTTCCTTGGCCTCAAGTGTTTTCCTTACACTTATATGATGAATCGTGCTCTGTTGAACCCTCAAGGGGGGCCCTTTGCAGATCCCCAGAAATCTCTATGCATCCACCTTTCTCCTCTCCACTACCCTGTCCTGAGCACTCCAGCCACCTTGGCTACTCCAAACTCTCAGCTGTCCCCTCAGCTCAGAGTCACTTGCTTTGCCTGGGTTTTTACTCTCTGAAATACATCCTCCCAAGCAGTAAGCTGGGCAACCGAGGGGCTCACCTTGCTTGTTTCTTGCCTCAGAAGGACTGTCTTTTGTTACCTCACATCTGCTGTCTTGAAACCGAGAGATGAAGAGATATAGAGATGAAGTCTTGCTATGTATATTTTGCAATATAACATGTTCAATGAATTTGAATTGTTTCATGTGTTTTCTGTTTGGTTGGTTGTTTCAGGCAGGAGGGTAAACTTGGCCCCTGCTCTTCCATCTTGGCTGAAAAGGAGAAGTTGTATCTGTACTTTCAGTCTGTTTGTGTTCAAACGTTGTAGCTGCAGATTAAAGTTATTCCATTTAGGGAAAATGTCCATCATATATCCTACCTGCAAAGACTGTCCTCTCTGTCAAACCTGTGAGCCAAATCTGACTTTCTAACAGAAAAAGTCTGATTTTATTTTTCCATTCAAATCAATGTGGTTAGTATGTATCCTGTGTCAACCATCTCACTTGCAATTTGAATTATTCTTTATTTCTTTTCTTTTCTTTTTCTTTTTCTTTTTTTTTAAGAGTTAAGGCTCTGTTGCCCAGGCTGGAGTGCCATAATATGGTTATGGCTCACTGTAACCTGAAACTCGAGCTCAAGTGATCCTCTTGCCTCAGCCTCTGGAGTAGCTGGATCTACAGGTGTATATCACTATGCCCAGCTAATTTTTAAAATTATTTTTTGTAGATATGGGGTTGTAGATACGTTGCCCAGGCTGTTCCCAAACTCTTGGCCTCACGCTAGCCTCCCACTTCAGCCTTTCAAAACATTGGTATTACAGGCATGAGCCACTGTGTCTCGCCTGAATTTGAATTCTTTATTTTTTTTTTTTTGAATTTGAATTCTTTAAAACATTTTTTCTTGTTTTTTTTTGCAACATTACATGTTCAATGAATTTGAATTCTTAAATGAAGAAGGCACAGAACTGACCCACAGGGCTGCCCCTGTGAACTTTCTCAAAGAACTTCTCCAGGCTTTGCTCTTTTGAGGACTTCCTCAAGCAGAGCATTCTCAAGTAGCCCTTTCACATGTTTTTTTACAGCGAAGAGCAAGGTGCCAAAGTAGGATTCAGAATGAGGTAGGGGAGGCAACTGGGAAAGTGCAAGCTGGGAAGGAGAGCTGCCAGACCTTGGGTTTCTTCCTAGGCCCACCAATATGAGGCGGGAATATATGGAGAAGGTGGCTCTGGAAATGGATTACTTTAAAACTATCTGTGTCCATCTACCTTCTAGAAAGTCTCCATGACCCTGTAGGACAGTGCAAACCCTTGTGTGAAGGCCTCTGACACAAAGTGTGAGAAGCCATTGATGGAGCCATTACTGCTTCCTTCGTTGTAATAGAAGGGATGGGGAGAGGAGCAGGTAAGAGCAGGGGTAGGTAAGTTGGGGCTTTGGTGCCTTGAAGGTGAAGAAATTCCTATTTGAAGGTTTCAGTTTTCTTCATGAAGAATGCATTTTTTTGGTTCCTGAGGGATGGGGGAAGGTGACAGCATCAGATATTTGAGGAAGGTGGAGAAAATATAAGCGTCAATACAAATAATCAAAACTAGTAGCTAGAATGGATGCTAGTTAGGCAGAGCTGAGGGTCCAGTTAAGATAGGTGGTTATGAATTCAAATCTATATCAATCTGCTCAGCTGTGTGATTTTCTTTAGCAATATTAAAGCTCTTGTTTGTTTGACGGTTGTGGATTTGGTAAAATCTGATCTTTCCCCTTTATTAACAGAAATCTGAGTCATCACAAAGAGGCCTGATAATAATTATGAGAACTGTATCACAGCCTTCCAGGGTTCCTCTGCAAAGGGCGGCTTTGGATGGCCAGGCATTTACATAGCACATAGTGGCTTTGTTTTGTTTCTCATCTTCCCGGTGAATTGAGTAACAATTTCTTCTCCTAAGCATAAATACCTGCAGACCTTAGTCACAGTCATCCCTATGAACAAGGGTGAGGGTAGAAATGGTGAGGAATGTCTGTGTTTCCTATCACCAGGTAAAAGGGATCTCGATGCTTGGCATGAGGTCCCAAGAGCTTGCCATTACCCATGTGTATTATTAAAAACTGAGATCATGCCATCGTCAAAGAAAAGATCAGAAACTAAACTCTCTGGACAATAGGCAAAGGTTGTAAACCAATAAATCCTCTTTCTTAAAATCTGATGTAAAGACTTCTTCCCTTTCTTGTCATGCATTGGGAGAAGGATAGAATGAGGTGGAGGGGGTTAGGGAAGTTTGGGCTTATAAATCTCTTGAGAAAGGTCTCTTTCAAAATTGTCTCAAGCTGTAATATTGCCTGAATATCATGGTATAAGATATGCCATATATCAGTAAAATCTAAGATTCAGCCGGTAAAATCAATCTGTCTAACATTGTCACTCTAAAAGTCCCCAAATCACCACAACCATGGAAGGATAGATTTTCCCATGGTAACAGACTGTATCAAGTTTATATATATATAGTATTTTGGTTTTTTTTTTTTTGAGACAGAGTCTTGCTCTGTCATCCAGGCTGGAGTGCATTGGTGCGATCTCGGCTCACTTCAACCTCTGCCTCCCAGGTTCAAACAATTCTGCCTCAGCCTCCTGAGTAGCTTGGACTACAGGCACTCCCCCAACCACACCCAGCTAATTTTTATATTTTTAGTAGATATGGGGTTTCACCATGTTGACCAGGCTGGTCTTCAACTCCTAACCTCTAGTGATCCGCCTGCCTCGGCCTCCCAAAGTGCTGGGATTACAGGCATGAGTCACCACGCCTGGCCTCAGATGTATTCTTAAAACATACAGCATACATACTCATACTCTGAATGTGAGTTCAAGGATCAGTGGCACAAATAGGGAAAATGACCTCAAGTCCCAAATGAGTATTAATGTAGTTCTACTAAAGTGTCTCAGTGGAGAGAAATCATTTCTTGAATTTTGCAGGGCAAGCATGAGTGCTTTGACTCATTTTTGCATGCCTCACAGCGTGCTCTTAAGCCATGTCTCCAGGCCCATACACTCACTGTAAGCGCCCCTAATGATAATAAAGTGAAGGATCTGCTGCAACTCAAAGGAAATTGAAAGTGCTTTAAGTTCCACATTCCCGAATCAGAGCTAGAGAGGCAGGCTAGACTTCCCACTGATGTGGATTGCCTGCTGTTGGTTTGGGCCATTCTAGGTATGATGTAATGTTTTAGATTACTGCTGTGTTCTTCTGGGCCTGGAAACATAAAGAACAAATCTAATCAATGCATCAGCTTCTATGACTCATTTGTCTTCCTGCAGCGTTGTGTGGTCACAAGCCTGCAAGAATGTGATCCAGAAATCCCCAAGTAGGGCCCTCGGGTGTGCCCAAATCCCTCATGCCCACCCATCCACCCCTCTGCATTCTAACATTTCAGTGGTTGTGTTCCAGCAAAGTGTCTTCCGCTCATGCTCAGGAGGAAGAGTTCCCTTGGTATCCCTGTGGCTCATTGTTCCTAAGGATACCAGGGCTCTCTCAGCCTGGCTGTGTGATAACAGAGGGACACTATTATCAGAGAAATCAGGGCTGATGAGCAGCTCTAGGCCAGAGAGGCCGAATGCTACGTGCACATGAAGAGAGAAGTCCCAGGAGACCCACAGGGTACAGGTTCAAATCAGGTTCCAGCCTCCCCTTTCTGGTGTCAGGAGTTAATCATCTTGATTTACTTATCCTGTAAGGAGCCAAGGTATCCTGCTATACCTGCCTACTGTCTTGTCTCTTCCACAATTCCCATGTCTTGTTTAGGTTTCTGCTCCACTTCTAGTGGGCTACTTGGAGTAGGAAGTAGGTCTCAATAATAATAGAACTAAATAGGCCGGGCGCGGTGGCTCAAGCCTGTAATCCCAGCACTTTGGGAGGCCGAGGTGGGTGGATCACGAGGTCGAGAGATCGAGACCAACCTGGTCAACATGGTGAAACCCCGTCTCTACTAAAAATACAAAAAATTAGCTGGGCATGGTGGTGTGTGTCTGTAATCCCAGCCACTCAGGAGGCTGAGGCAGGAGAATTGCCTGAACCCAGGAGGCGGAGGTTGCGGTGAGCTGAGATAGCGCCATTGCACTCCAGCCTGGGTAACAAGAGCGAAACTCCGTCTCAAAAAAAAATAATAGAACTAAATAAAACAAAAATATCTCATTTGCCTCCAGCTCTGCCACAGACTATTTGGCCTTGGAAAAATTCCTTCCCTTTTCTGATACTCCTCTGTAAAATAGCCTGTATCAGTAGTTTCCATATCACATTCTGTGAAGCTGCCAGAAGCCTGAGGGGTTCCCCAGGTCCCCGGAGAGGCTGCAGTGGAAAGAGAGGCTGAACTGACTCCACCCCCAATACCCAGCACCCACCAAAGTAGTTGCTTTTTACCTGTTTTATATATTGTTTTTCCACACAAAGGTTCTTTGAAGAAAGAGTCCTGAGGCCACAGGGTTTGAAAACTGCTGGAGTAAATGATCACCAAGGCCCTTTCCAGTCTGAGATGCTTGGTCTTCTGAAGCCCCACTCAAGTTTTTCTTCCTCCAGAAAGCCTTTCTTGTTACCCAGTCCTGGGTACTTGAGCTTCAACAATGATGATGCCAGGCATATGGCACTGTTGGTGAACCATCCGATTCCTGCGTGTGTATGTAAGCTGTCTCCCCAGCTAGAAGGTGAGCTCTTTGAGGGCGGTGTTCAGTTTTTCTTCCACACCTCTGTCCCCTGGTAATACCACATGCAAAGTAGGTGTTCAATAAACATGTTGATGCCACCTGGTGTCATGAGCTCTCACATGGGATAAAACTTCCTCCCTAGACTCTGCTTTGGGGAGGAGGAGCCAGCTTTTGGTCTGCTTAACACTCCACAGACTTGTCCTTACAAAGCTGGGGACCCTGACCTGGGAAGCAGCTTCAGACTCATACACTCCTCAAAGGGAAGGTATGAGTTCTTGCCTCAATTGGATTTGGCCTCGCCTCTTCTGCCCCTCAGTACCGCTTCTGGTGGGGCCTCTCCATACACTGTGGCCGTAGAAGAGGCATGCCCCTGAAGCCTGGGAATCAGGTCAGCCAGGTTGCCCCAGGGGCAGCAGGCATCTCAGCCAGATTCCAGAGGGAAGTACAGGTGAGATGGAGAGGAACTCCTGGGTTTGTTCGGAATACAGCTCTCTCAGGAAGTGGAGGCCCAAAGAGGGTGGCTGGGTGCACTCGGAGACACCAGAGAAAGCAGGTTGGAGGAGGGTGCTGGAGGTAAAAGATCAAGACAGCCATATACCAATGTCCCCAAGGCAGGTAGCCAAGGGGAGACTGGAGGTTTTAGTGGTGGAATGAAACCTCTCTGCCATTTAGTGGCTAAGTGACTCTGGGGTCAGTTCATCTTACTTAGTCTCAATGTCTACCTATAAAGTGGGGGCAAAAGAACCTAACCAACATCAGGATACCCTGTAATGAAGTAGTGAGATAGATTCCAAGGAGACTAAAATGTACAGGGATGTAGAGGATTCTTAGTGTTTATTAAAACAGAAGAGCACAGGAGCCTGCTTCCAAAGAGGGACTGTGCTGTAATTTAGAGATGCTCCGAGGCTGACCATCCTCCTTCTCCTGCTGCACTCCCAGCAGCCACCTATGGCTGGATTTGGAGAATTTCTGGTCAAACCAGTGAGTGTGAGGAGAGCAGGGCAGTTTGGGAGAGAGGTCCCCAGCCCAATTCTGCCCAGAGAAGCTCCCCAAAGAGAGGGAAGTGTCCTTATGAAGAGCCCATGAAAGGGGTGAGACCCAGGAGGCTGCAGAAATTCCTGCAGGCTCTTCTGGTCAGTGAGGAACCTGACAAGATCCCGAGGATAGGGTCCCTTAGTCTCACTGAAGTTCTTGGAAGTTGGGATGGGGGCCAGGTCACCCTCCTCTGATACCAGAAGCTAGACATCTGGCCTTCCCCACTTCTAGAGGAGGGGTCTTAAATAGTGCTATGGGGCAGATAAGCCCTCATCAGGTCACAAGCAGGTCCCCTCCAAAACCCCTCTCATTGCAATCCTCCAGATATGAGGAGTAGGAGCAGACAGATCAAGGCTGGGACATTTGGCAGGGTTTAACATCTACAGTTGGAGGGTGAGACCTCTCCCTGTGGATCTGGAGAAATACCTTTCAGCTTCAGCCAGGTGCTGCCCCTGCTGTGTCATCCCTGACAGGGTTCTACACCCTGTCCAGCCTCCCCAGGACCCCTCAGCTGCTGTAGCCTGAAGTGTGGGTGCTGGGCCTGCGCAACCAAACATCTGGCAGGTCTGGCTGGCTATTGGGCAGTACCACAGGGCTGCCATCCCCTGGCCCCCCTCGGCCCTTCCAGGACAAGCTGCTCTGGTGGGAGGCAGGCAATGATGGATCATACACTGTCTCCCTCAGTGCCAGCCACAGGGTGTCCCGCTTCCCATTCAGCTGGCCCCGCTCAAGGACTGGCTGCCCAGTGTCATCCAGGTCATCTGGAGACACACCCACAGAATCTGGTACACGGGCACTGGGCTCAGAGGTGCTTAGGCAGGTCTCATCAGAGACGCTGAGCCCCTCCAGGGTGCTTGCTGAGGAACAGAAGCCATCAGGAGGTTCTGCAGCCTTGGCCTTGGGGGAATGGACTGGGGCTTCTGGTGAGGCTGGCAGGGGCTCAGCCGCCTCCTCTTGGGAGTCCTGCCTGGCCCGGGTTTTGGGGCTGGGGCCAGCCTGCTTATAGGGGGAGGAGGTCTGCAGGGCAGGGCACTGGCTAAAGACTGCCTGGTGGTCCAGCAGCAGCTCCCTTGGGGAGGCAGGGGCTGGTGGGGGCCGGGAGCAACAGGGGCCATCATGGAGCTGCAGGTCTTCAGAGAGTACTGAGGGCCGGTGGGACAGCTTGCTCGTGGCTGTGCTGGTGTCAAAGCTGGGGCTCCGACGCCGTGCCAAAGGCTGTAGCTCATAGTGGTCTGAGCAGGACCCAGGCATCCCTCCCACTGACCCTGGTCGTGGACGACCTGCCTTCTCCCCACCAGGGTCTCCAGTACCAGCATCCCATGGCAGGTGGGCACAGGGCCAGAGGATCTGCCCACAGTTCTTCTCTGGCCCGAAGAAACAGCAGAGAGATTGGAAGAAGAAGCTGGCAAAGCCACAACTGACACATTTGACCATCATGAGGATGATGCCCAGCTTGCGATAGACCAGCACCGTGGCGGGCAGCATGAGCACACCTGCTGCAAAAAGGGCTGCAGCCCCCACTGCTGTGGCGCAGCTGGTCTGGCGCAGAGAGAAGGCCACACGGCTCAGGCGGTCAGGGTGTGGGCACAGATGATAGGAGATGCAGTAGTTGACAGTGAAGTCCACCGAGAGACCCACTGAGGCAGAGAGAAAAAGCGCCTCAGCAGTGTTGAGCTGCCACTCGAGTAGAACCAGGAGTCCTACAGTGAGGAGCACGGTGCCTGCCACAGCTGCCACGGAGAATAGGCTGAGTGGAACATTCCAGGTGCCCAGCAGCAGTGTGGCAAAGGCCAGCGCCAAAGCCAGGCCCAGCACCACAGCAGGCTCAGTGCTCAGGCTGTGCTGCAGGCTGTACAGCTCTAGACGGCTGGTGAACCAACCACGGCGGAGACCTGGAGGTGCCATGCTCAGCTCTGCTGCTAGCCAGTGGCTGACCTCATTGTAGAAGAGTTGGGTCTCATTGTAGTCCGGACTATTAGGGAAGTTGGTCTGGAATTGCAGGACCAGGGCGGCCAGGCTGCCATGGGCATCAAAGCGAAGTCCCAGGTCGTGGGTGCCATCGGGGCCTTGCTCCAGAGCCATCATCTTCAGGCAGTGCAGGAAAAACTGGGGGGACCAGGGGAAGTCTGAGTGGCCGCAGCAGACGTCAGGCCCCAGGCGGGCACAGCTGGGGCTCTCCATCCAGCGCTGGAGGGTCTCCACGAAGCACAGTGTGGGCCAGCCCTCCTGCAGGGTGTCGAAGAAGCTCTGATTCCTGGCCCGGTGGCAGAGTGCTAGCAGCCAGCGCTGGGCCTCGGGGCCGCTGGCCGAGAAGGCAGGGTCCCTCACCAGGCTGCTGTTGCTACGAGGGTCCAGAGGATCGCCGGTGTCCACGGGCAGGACGCCCCACACCAAAACTACGGGCAAGTGGCCGCCCTCGCTCTGCGGCAGCTGCTCGAACAGGAATAGCTGGCGGTACTCAGCGTCGAAGCGCTCGAAGGGGTGGCTGGGCCGGAAGACCTGGCCGCCCGGCGGTGGCAGCGTGGGCAGCCGCAGACGGGGGCTGACGCCTGCGATGTAGGCGCCCCCTGCCGCCAGCGCCGCGAACCAGCAGATCCAGATGTAGCGGAACTTGATTACGCCGCAGGGCAGGAGGCGCTGGAAGAGCAGGCGCGAGGTGCCGGTCGCCGCTCTCCGCACTCCGCGGAGCCGCCGGTGCAGCGCCAGGAGCATCCGTCGGGGCGCGCTGCCCTCCCATCTGCCCCGCGCCCGGCGCGCACAGCCGCGAACCAGGTAGCGCTCGTGGAGCACGGCGGAGGCGGGCAGCCAGACCAGCGTGAGGGCCAGGTGCACCAGCACAGCGGTGCCCATGAAGAGGGCGAGGCAGCGCACGGCCGGCAGGCGGCTCAGGTAGCTGGCATAGAAGGCTGCGCTCGTGGTGAGGCCAGAGACCAGCAGCAGGTAGCCGAAGTGATGCATGGTGCGGGCCACGCGCTGCGCCAGCCCCCCGGACGGCAGCTGGCTCTTGCTGAGGCGCCACAGGTCGAAGAAAATGAGTGTGTGGTTGGCAGAGACACTGCTGAGCAGGAGGAGGGCTGCCAGATTGACGAAGGGGAAGTAGGCCATGCGGAAGGCCACCTGGTAAAGGAAGAAGGCCACCAGTAGTGAGCCCAGCACCCCCAGCAGCACCATGAGCGTAAGGAAGAGTGAACGCAGGTACAGGGCAATGCCAAAGAAGATGGCAGCCAGAGCCAGCAAGGGGTACACCGTGTCCTGGACCAGGAAGTGCCTCAGCAGCTCCTGCTTGAGGCCCAGGTCCATGCCGGTGACAGAGGTGTAGTTGTCAGCGAGCCCCCAGGGGGTGGCCAGCCGGTCCAGGTAGATGTCCATCAGGGAAGCACCCTTTGGGGTGGGCAGGAAGAGCAGGCTGTACTTGAGGGAGGGCACCTGGTAGTCAGTGGTCTGGGGACTCAGAAAGTCCCTGTCAAGCAGAAAGTGCAGGAGTTGGTAGATGGCACTAGTCTGGGAGCACTTGGTGGGAACCTGGGCACAGCGTGGGGACTTGTTCTGCCCGGGTCCCAGACAAGAGGGTACCAGGGCACCACTGTGGTAGTAGAGGGCACAGGTCCGAAGCAGGGCCAGTGTGCGGGCTGCGTCAGCTTGGGTAGTGTCCAGGCAGGAGGAGCGGTTGGAGAGCACAGCCAGATAGTTGCCCAAGGACCAGCTGGGACAGCACTGGTTGGCTGCTGTCCGCTGGCACAGAGCCCCAAAGCTGGTATGTGAGCGGATCTGTAGGGCACACACAGGAGGAGAGAGCTCAGGGGCAGTCCAAGGGCCCAGGTTTTCCCAGTCCTGTACGAGGCTCTCTCACTTCCTTTCACACTACAGGGCAGGCACAGAGAGGGATCTTGACAGCCTAATGAAACCGGCTTGTTTCCCAGCTGCCTCTGGCTCCTGGCCCAGGTGCCAGCAGCTACATCTTGACTTCATCAAAGAAGAGCCTCAGGGATGCTGCCTGAGGCTTCAGCCTGCTCCGAGAGCCCCTGTAGGTCACACACCCCAACTCCTAGTGGCCTAAGCTAGGGGTAAAAGTGTAGGTAGCAGCCACAGATAGACAGGGCCAAGGCTTCAAGGGGCTGAAGCAAGTAATGGGAAAAGTGGAGACTAAAACATTCCAGGTTCAGGGTCCCTGGCAAGCCCCAGCCTCCCACCTCTGTCCACTGGACTGCTGAAAGCCTCTCAGGGCCACGCTATTTCTTTTTCAAATCTCATGCCTCCTTTTTCTCCTTTCCTCCTGTTGACCTCATGACAGCTGATGTAGTACAGAGAGCACTGGTGTGGGAGTCAGGGTCCCTTGCTCTGCCACTAACTGGCTGTGTGACCTTAGGCCTGAGATCATGGTGACAACATGGTAACACTTATTGAGAGATGACTATTGCCAGTCATTATGCTGTAATTTTTCAAATTCTCTCATTATCTGTCCTCACCACAATCCTGTGAGGAAAGTACCTTTATTATCTCCATTTAACGCTTATGAGCCTGAGGCACTGAAAGGTTAAGAAACATGCCTGAAGTCACACAGCAGGACAGCCTTAGAGCTGGCCTTGAATTCAGGCATCTGACTCTAGAACATGTGTTCTTAACCAGTCTTTTGGTACTTAGGATATTCTCATGTGAAGCGGGGGGCTGGGCTACTGTGTGGTTTTCACACCATTTTTAGCAGCAAACCTTTCTTCAGATGTTATTGTGTATGATTCTCCAGTCAGCATAATTGGATTGGCACTGTTGGGGTTGATGGGGGCAGGGGCCTTGAAGCCCATAATCTCAGCTCCCTGGGCAGGGCCTCCTCACCTGCTCTGGAGGTCCCTTTCAGGACCTTTTGGAAACCCCCAGGCTCTGCATGGGCTCGCTTCCAGCACTTCTATCTTGGCTCTTCTAAAAACAGCCGACTCTTCTTTTCCCACCCCAACCTGGAGCCTCTCAGCAGGGTTGGAATAATTTTCTAAGCAGGGAATGCTCTTCCCCAGTCCACCCCCTGGCAGTCCTGGCTCAGCTGTATTTCTCTGGGATCAGTTCCCTCGTGTCCTTACTTCCCCCGAAACCCCTGGCAGCTCCCCAGCTGGCTCACCTGGTCCTGTTCCATGCGACACATGGAATGGATGGCATGCAGGTTCCATAGGCTGCCCGAGGAGGTGGACATGAACACCAGCTTTGCGTAGCTCTTCTCTGCAACATACCCCCATCACCCAGAGCTCAGTCCTTGGGTCTTCCAAGGGGAAGATGCTTACCCACGCCATATGAGGTTCGGATTCTCAGGCATCTCAAGCCTGTACATGGGCTGCCTGATCCTGTCCCTGTGCCTCACCCCAACCCAGCTTAACCCTGTCTGGTTGGAGCATCTGAGAACTCTCCCTCATCCTCCTAGCTGTAACCTGGCTTCCTTGGCTTGACTGTGGCCAGCTGGACACCTTCCCTTTGTTTCTGCCTAGATTTGTTCTGGGCCTGCCTGTCCTACTAGGTGGGGTGGGGACCACTATTAAAACCAGGAACTGGCCAGGGTGCCACTTACCAGGGGGGCCACAGAAGAAGTTCTCTTGCCTTCTGTCCTCCAGGGGCTCCACCATCCTCCGAGGCCGGACAACGCTCTCCTGGGCACTGCCCCTGGGTGCAGATCTCAGAGTGTTGTGGGAGCTTGAGCTGAAGTGGAGAGAATATCTATGCCAGGCACCATTAGGGTTGGAAGACTCAGAGGAGGCCAGAGACCACTCCCCATAGAGCCCTAGCAAGCCCCTCTGACCTGCCTTGGAGTGAGTCACCCAATGTCTCCTTCCTGGAGGTCTCATTCTTTCCTCTCCCACCCACAGTAGAAGAATGAGAGCCTGTTACCTGTTCAGCTCAAGGTCTGGGGAAAGGAAAAGCAGCTTCCTGGGGCCTGTGAGGGCTTGCAGTGCTCTCCAGACCACTAACTTGTTCCCAATGTCCGTGTCCCGTGGCTCAAAGCCCTGCAGGGAGGAGGGTGGAGAAGAGCAGGTGGGCAAGGGAGGAATTCTCTGGGTGCTTCTCAGGTCTGTCCCTTTGACTCCTCAGAGCAGGGAGGGCAGCCTGCCTGCCTGAATTGTGGATGTGAGTCTGAACTTTATACCATCTCCCTAGCTCTCTCTGGAGGTCAAGAGCCTACCATGGCTATCCTATCCCCAGTCCAACATGGCTACCCTACCTCCAACTTTCTGCCCCAGGCTGGGCTGAGGTGGCCAGGCCTGGGGACCCTGTCCCACCCCTTGGCTCCTCACCAGTAAAGGCTTGGAGAAGTCGGGCAGCCGGGCTCCCAACAGTCCAGCCAGGGTGCAGAGGAAGATGACAGCCAGACATAGCAGCAGCACGGCCACTGGCCACTCAGCAATCAGCTGGGAATAGCTGGGAAAGAGGGAGGAGCCCACGTGAGTTGGGTGTGGTGGCAGTGAGTGCTGAGCTCAGGCTCCACCAAGAAGGGGTGGTAGAGCAGAGAGCACGTGGAACAGGATTAAACTGGGCACCAGCCTGGTCACCCCTAGAGGTCCAGGGAAGGCCCAGGCATACCTCTTTGGCATCTGGAAGGCACGTTCCTGCCTGTGGAAGAGAAGAGAAGAGAAGAGAAGCTGCTTGCTTGCCAGAGTCCTCTTGCAGGGGGATGGAGGTAGGGTGGGAGTGGGTGGGTGAGGGATAAACGATGATATTAACCCTTTTAGGACTTTGCCACTCCCAAGTTCCAACCCTTACTTCCTATTGCAACTGGGCTGCCTCCTAACAAAGGATTCCAGAGCCCTGGGGGTCTGCCCCACTCTTATGCCCTGCCCCATTTTCCAGTGGCAGCTGGCAGGCTGCTGGGCCCCTCCTTACCTGACGCTGACCACGTGGTGCTGCACAGCGGGTGGCTTCCAGGCCCCATCACGCTGTGAGGGGGCTGGGGAAGGGCTGAGGCTGGAGCCATGGGAGCAGAGAGCTGCCCGATCCCCAAGTCCTGGCAGGGAACTGCCCCCCGGGTATTCCTGCAGTGCCCGGGGATAGGGGAAGTGGGCAGGGGCTGAGGGGCTGGATGGATGCACAGGCTGGAGGGTGGAAGTTGTTGTTGGGGGTCCCGAAGAGCTGGAAGGTTCCTCCTGGGGGCAGCTGTGGAGGGAGCAGCTTCTCTCTGGGCTTGCCTCAGGGGCCACAGCCTTGGTCTGGGTGCTAGGAAGAGAGGAGGCAGGGAAGATTGGGTTGGGGAAAGGTAGTGAGCTACCCCATGCCCCAGCATTATTCAGTAAGACAAGACAAGGGGACAGGGACCCAGGGTTGATGTATCAGTAGTCCTGGGGGAGAAGTAAGAGGTAAGGATGCCAGGGGCTCAAATCTGTGCCCTTAGCCTACCTCTTGGAGACCATTCTCTTACTCACTCATTTTCCACACCCTCAGAAAACAGTTGGCAGCCCGCTACATGCCAGGCCCTGTGCTAGACACTGAATGTGCTTTCACGTATATGATCTTACTCACTCCTTACAGAAACTTCACAAAGGAGGTATTTTCTTCGACTGATAGATTTGAAAACAGGTTCACTGACAGATGAAGAGCTGGTGCTCGAATCCAGTTCTTCCAACCTGCAGTCCTGTGCTCTTTCTGCTGCAGTCGTTTGCTCTTTCTCTTGCCAGACAGATTATTGAGCACCTGCTGCACTCCGATTCCCATCGCAGAGCCTTGGAACTTTCTCTTCCTTCTGCCTGGGTTGCTTGTCCCCCAGATAATTGCATGGCTCTCTTTTTTATTCTGGTGTTGTTTCAACTAGTACTTCCTCAGAGAAGCCTTCCCTGACTACTCTCTCTAAAATAGTTGCCCACCAGCTCTCAATCCCCCTACCCTGCTTTATATTTCTTTCATAGCATTTGTTGCAATTTAATATTCTATTATAGAGTCATCATGTTTATTGCCTGTCTCTCATATGGAATGTGAATGCTGGGAGAACAGGGACCTGTTGCATTTGTTCATCTCCATAGAGCCAGGGCCTTGAATAGTGCCTTGCACACAGAAAGCATCATGGAAATGTTTGTTGAATGAGTGTTAGGCTGGCTGCTAATAGTGGTGCTAGGATGAATAAGACCTGGTCCTTGCCCTCTAGGCACTCACAGTAGCTGGGAAATGTGAATAGTCCAACATGTTGAATGCTGCCAGTGGGGAAGTCACAGAGGGCTGAGGGAGCCCAGAGAGGGTCCCACTTTGACAGGGGTTAGGGTGGTCAGGGAAAGTTTGTGGAAGCAACTGCTACCCTTCCACCTACCCTGTCACAGGCCATGCACAGAGCAGTTTTACTTTGTAAGGATGTGCACAGTTGGGAGAGGGAATTGGGACACCCTCCTCACCCCAAGGAACTTGCCAGAAAAGGGTCAGCAATAGATTCTTCTCCCAAAATTACTCCTCAGGGCAATGATCTATGCATATACTCAGCTCCACTCCTTGGGTATGGGGGAGGTGGAATATCAACCCCAGCGGCAGGATTGCAGACCCAGATTAGGAAAAGATGGCCACAGAACAGAGTGCCATGAGGGTTCCCAGAGGGGTTCTGGGCTGGTCAGCCTCGAAGAGCCCTGTCTCTTTCTCCCTGGCCTCTGCCTGGCTCACCTAGCCCACTCACGAGTTTACGTAGCTTCCAAGGAGAGCCAGATCTATGCGGAGCAAACCCTGGCTTCCAGTCTTGGTTGCTACACTGCTGAAGGGGCTGTGAGCTGCAGTCCCGGCCTCAGTGGCAGATGGGCATTGCCCACAGAAGCTGAGTTCTGCCCAGAGACCGACAAGAGGAACTGGGAAGGATAAACATGCTCTTTCTCTTTTTCTCAGAAGGATGGCAGGCTGGCCCAGCAGTCCAGGAGAGAATGACATTCATGCTGAGGGTAAAATGGGGGAGCAGTGGAGGTGGGTTCCTGACTTCATCACCCTTTGACTCTGGGGCCTTGGGAAAGACACACACTTCTTGGAGCATTGGCACCCTTATCTGTTGAAGATATGAGATAATGCCCACCTCTTGGGTTTGGTGTGGGGATTAGCTGATAGAACATATGTGAGGTGCCTGGCACAGAGTCTGTCATATGGAAGACATGTTTGCTTTCCTGCCCCTCCCCATGGTCAGTGTGGAGGAAGCACATACTTTTAGAAGTGCGTTTATATTTACACTTTGTCCTCTTTTGGCACCTCAGATAATATATATCCGTTTTAGAACTTCTCACACCTTGAGAACCTCACTACATATACCAATACTTTCCTTTTGGTTATCTAAAAGCTGCATCAAAAGTTGATCTCATGATTTTAATCACTTATTTTTTACAAACTCAACGTTTAGGAAAATAGGAATTTGACCAAAGTTGTTCTAAAGCAAGACCTCGGATGACTCTATAAAGTTAATGACATAAGCAATCAGTGTCCTGGCAGATAAAAGACCCTGTAGGCCAATCCCTGTGGGTCAGAGAGAAGCTGGATAAATGGTCTAGGCTGTGTGTGTAAGTGTGGACACTGACTCCTTTAAGATGTTCAATTCTGCAGGTTTTTCTTGCACACCCATACTGTGCTTAGCATTGTGCTTGCTCTGGGTTGGGTCCTGGAGGCAAGAAGACGATCCATTAGCCTTGGTCTCTCTCTTCAGAGCAGGGCTTGCCTTCTAGGGGTCAGGAAAGTGGGGCAGCCCAGGTGGAGGTAGGGCGCCTATGCCAGCTGCCCATGGCCTTAGATAACTGAGCACTGGGCTTGTTTTAGAAGCCAGGGCACCACTTGGAGTGTCAGTTTCTTTTGCATTAGGGGAAACCAGCATTCCAGAGGATACTGGAGAAGAATGGGTGCACTCCTGCCTACCCAGTTTGCCAAACTTCCTAAGTCCACCCTTTTCCTTAGCTGGCTTTTCTTCAAGGGGTATCTTAACCTCCACCACTGGTTTGCTTCTGCTGAAGTCTCCCTGGCCCTAGCTCCTTCCCTTTAACCCCTGCTATTCCTCTTCAGCGACCTAGGGTCAGCTGCCCCCAGTCCCACTCTTCCTGACTGTGCCAACCATTATCCATGTGGCAGAACCTGAAACATTCCATATTCTGACTGCTGTAGAGCCAGGCCTTTTCCTCAAATCTCCCAATGAGAAAAGCCAACCTCCACTCTTCTCAGAATAAAAGCTTTCTCCTGTCAGCTCCTGCTGCCCTCTGCTCTCAGGAGGCTCAGTAGTAATAGGAATTAGGCATCCCAAGCCTACACAGGGTTTTTTTATTCTCACTCCCTCAGTTCCATGGCCCTCACTGGGATGAGTAGCTTCTGGGCTGCCTGCCTGGGCCTGCAGGCCCATAAGCCAAGTGAGTGGGGCAGGCAGTGGGATGGAAAGTGGGGATGCACGCCTCACTCAAGAGGCCAACGTCCCTGCAATTAGAGCCTGTCTGACGAGATCCCAGACACAGAGGCCTAACCTGTAAGCCCCATAAGGGGCAAATTTATATTGTACTAACCATGCCCTCAAGCCCACAGACACACAGCCATATGAACATCAATGTGATCCCACAGAGCGGCCAAGACAGATGGGGGAGCAGCTCATACCACTAGGAAAATAAAAAGGTAATTTTAAAAACACAAAGTGTGGCCTCTTTCAAATTCCTCTCTACCCAGTGTGTTGGTAAGGGTGTGCACACATGCACATGTGTGTGTGAGTTATTCACTGTGTATCTATCCCCAGAGTGCTACTCAGCTTAGCAGAAGCATTTTTGTTTCTTGAATCACATAAGCAAGTCCCTATGCCCAGTTAGTGTCCATAGTCTCTGGAGAAACGCAGTGAGGGGCCAGAGTTCCCAGGGCATTTCTGGAAGACAACAAGTGGATCCTATGTCCAGGGGAAATGAGACTGGACATGGCTGATTCTTGGCAAGATATCTGAGACAGCAAATGACTCTCCTGCCCCTTCTAGGGATGCTTCTGGCCCCAGGCTCCCACTCTGCCCTGTAACTGCTCCATCCTTGGTCTCTTTGATCAGGCCATAGTCCCAGGCAGGTCCCTGGTCTGGTGAATACACTCATCCTGTGTCTCACCCTGTTGAAGGCTTTGTGACTTTCAGACTGAAGGGTGGCTAAATCTATCCAGGCTAATGTGTTCACAATAAAGGGAAGAAAACATTTCTCTCTACTTGTGGGGCTTTCTCTCCCTCTGGGGTACAGAATGTACATTTTAACTGGGGTAGTCTGGAGACGATGTGTCCACCTCTGCTGTTGCTACCAAAGAATGCCTTTTATTTCAGTCCAGGCAGGAAAGAGGCATGTCATGTCAGAGGAGGGATTCTGGGGGCAGCAGAGCCAGGCAGGGCACAGAAATTGCGCCATATTGCTACCTAGCTGGGCTGTTCCCTCACACATATGGTGGAGCAAGGGAGAGGAGAGGTACTGAGATCTGGGCCCTCAGCAGGAAGGTGTCCCTCCTGTCCCACTAGCCCGGGGTTCTTCCGGGGTGGTACAGGCCAGCGGCCTGAGCACCAGAGCCTTCCCATCTTAGCGGCTCCAGCCAGTGTGGCTGCCACATGCAGGGACTGGAACCCACACGTGCACAGCTGGGGGCCATGCAGGGCAGGCAAGAGACTGACGGTGACAAAGACAGTCCCTGACGTGCCTGCTGAATGTCTGCCTTCCCCAGGACAACCGCCTCGGTGATTTTCCTGTCCACGATTCACGAACACCCTCATGCACACTGACACGCTGAAACCCGGACTGAGGTTACTGCGGGCTTGGGGTTTCCGGAGAAGACGCAGGGGCAGGGCCTAGAAGGAGGGGCCGGAGGGGCCGAAGGAGCCAGGGAGTCCTGGCCTTAGAGGAGGGGTGGGAGCCGTGGGTGGGGCAGGTTCCCTAAGCGGGGAGGGCGATGGGGGCTGACACTAGGGGGTGTCAGGGAGCAAGGAAACTGACCCGGGAGGATGAGGGCGTGGCGAGGGGGGCCTGGAGCTTGGCGACCCCGGGAAGGGGCTCCCGGAGGGTCTGGGGAATTAATGGGGCAACATATGGTGGCTACTGGGGATACCTGGGGCGGGGGTGCTCGGAAGGTCTGTGATCTGGGTCTGCGGAGCGGTCCGCCCTACCTGTCCGGGGAGCCGCCGTCTGGGGCCAAGGACTCCCCCTCGGGCCGTTGCTCCCCTTCCGGACCCGGGCCGGGAGCCGGACCGCTGCCGCCGCTGCTGCTGCTGCTGTCACCGTCCATGCCCGTGGGCGGCACCGCTGTCCCGGCGCTGGTGCTGAAGCCGCGGCGGCAGCGGCGGCGGCGGCGGCGGCGGCGGCAGCGGGCTAGTGCGCATGCTTTGGCTCCGAGCGGGCCGGTCGCTGGGCGGGGCGAGGAGGAGCCCAGCCAATGGGCGCGGCGCCGCGGCGGGAGCGGAGCGCCCTGTCTCTAAGACCGCGGGGCTGCGGGTGTGCGCGTCCCTTTGCTCCCGCCGGGTAGAGTCGCTGCTAGGAGTCCGGCAGTCCTACCCTTCCTAGCGGCCTCGGCCTTCCCGTAAGGAACCAGGGAGCGCGGCCCATGCAGACATCCTCACAAATCGAAACGCGGGCCCTTGCATTGGGATAGAGGGCGGGCTCCATGTCCGCACCAGGGCTGGACGCTCCGGGTGGAGAGGCCAGCGGCTTCAGGCCTGCGAGGCTCCCGTCTCGCTAGCGCCCTCCTCCCCTCCCCAGTGGGGCGAGGCATCAGATTGGGTCTTTCTTCCCATCCTTTTGGACCTCAACCTGGACCTGGGTGTGCAACCCTCAGATGTGGAGCCCTGACTCCGTTATTCAAGTGCAGAGTCTGGTGGAGGAGGGAGGAAGAAGAGAGATGCTCAGATCATTCCCAGCTCCTTCTCTTTGTTTTTTAAGATTTAAAAGGTTTATAAAGTGAAAAAAACAGTTACAGTAAGCCAAGGTTAATTTTTGATTCAGGAGGTACATGTGCAGGTTTGTTTTAAAGGTATATTGAGTGACCCCAGATCCTTTTTTATAATCACCCCTGCCCCCCTGCCTCAGCCTGGGAGATGCCCAATAGCCACTGACTCCACCAGGGAGTAGCTGTGAGTAGAGCACATTTGGGTATGATGGACTGTGGACAGGCCTGGCTAAGGGGCCTAGATCTAGAACAGATATTGGCAGTATGAGAAGCCTGGGGTGCGGGGAGTGAGAGGATCCCGGGTGTGGGATTTGGATAGGCAGAAAGGGTTTTACAGCAAGCAGGCTGTTCAGGACCTAGTTATGTGTGCAGGGAGAGGCCTTGGTTGAAGACAGGGGCCTGAGGGGAGAGTCAGGAACACTTCGACTATAGGTATCGCTAAAATGTGGGCCAATGCCAATCTGTGTAAGACACAGGTCATAAGCAATGGTGTGGGAGAATCTAGAGGTGTTGAAGTGTTGGGTCTGCCCTGAATGGCCTATAGTTTGGTTGGCGAGATAAAGGAACAGCCCATAAATTGGTGCCAACAGGCAAGATGTGGTCAGGCCCATGAGGTGATTTACACTATATCTTCTCTGTAGCTTTGCTGCAGAGAAGGGGGCAGCATGCAAAGAAAGAGGACCTCTTTCTTCCTAATAGGCCTTAGGGAAGGCTTCGTGGAGAAGGTGGAGCTTCAGCTGGCTTGGAAGAAAGTCTAGGCTTTGAAATGGGGAGGCAGGAGAGAGGAAGGCATTCCTGACCTGGGGTTGGGGCATTCTTCCTTACCTGTGCAAACAAATGTAAGGAGGCTGGAAAGTTCAGCGTATTTTCAGGGAATGGTGAAAAACCCATCTGGATTGGAGGGAGGCTTCTGGTCTGTAGAGTGAGGCATGCAAGCTGCAACCTCGGAAGGCTCACAAGATCTGGATGTACAGGATGGCATAGCGGTGATGAGGCCACACTTGAGGTCCCTCGATGGGAGGGGCCAGGAGTGAAAAGGAGAGGAGAGGTGACCTTACACAGCCATTTATAGTGAACACCATGTTGCTAAGCTTCTGAGAATGCCTGGCTGGTTGCCCCATCTTCACAATGAGGAAGCTCGGAGACAACTGGGCCCTCTGACAGCCAGGGTGGATATGAAGGAAGACACCTCTTTTAAGAATAGAACATGGCCTCTAGGAGGCTGTTTATTAGGAAAAGAAAACAGGTCTCCTTCCAGGTCAGCTGGGCAGTTCTCTCAGGCTTGCCGTCTTGTGTCCTGTTTTCTTCTACTTCCTCAGTGATGTGGACCAGGGTGTGGGTGCCCTGGGCCATGGCCAGGGGGAGGCCCGCAAGGCCCTGGGCCATGGCCAGGGGGTGGCCCGCAAGGCCCTGGGCCATGGCCAGGGGGAGGCCCGCAAGGCCCTGGGCCATGGCCAGGGGGTGGCCCGCAAGGCCCTGGGCCATGGCCAGGGGGAGGCCCGCAAGGCCCTGGGCCATGGCCAGTGGGTGGTCCGCAAGGACCTGGGCCATGGCCAGGGGGGGGCCCACAGTGACCTGGAGGATGGCCATGGCCATGTCCCCCATGGCAGTGCCCCTGTGAAAAGTCAAATGAACAACGTCAGAGTCAGAGGTCATGGCTAAGCTTACCTGAGATCAACTCTCCATCTCCCTACTTTCCTGGGGGACTCAGGATTCCTAGGCAAGCAAGGGGTTATGGTGGAGGGCTGGGGGCACAGATAGCAAATGACTGCTTCTAGCCCTGTGCCTTATATCTTGGTGAGGCCAGAGCACTGAGCAGATAAAAGGGGAGCAACCTAGATTTATTGGTTTCTATTCTTTGAGCTGAGATATGACTCCCACTCCTTGGACCTCGATTTGTTTTATTTGCCACTAAGAAGCAGAATTATTTCATCTTCTTCTTTTTCTCACCAGGAACCCTTGCAGAGTGATTAGAGGCTTTGACATGCTAGGACCGCAGGCTCATTGCACTTAGCAAGGGTGAGGCTGGAGGAGGCTATGTAAGAACTCTTTGAAGGCCAGGGACAAAAGGACACAGGAGGCTGGGTCAGGGGAGATGCAAGAGCTGAGAAGGAGAAGGAGAAGGTGGACAGTCGGAGGATGAGAGGAGACAGAGGGTAGGAATAGCAAGGTGAGGATGTATGTATTCTTTTTATAGGTTGTGTGTCTGTGTGTGTACAGGGTGTGTGCTGCATTTACATGAAATAGCTATGTTTGTGTACATGTGCGTGGGTGGGTTCATATACAAGCCTGCTATGTGTACAGATATGTGCATGGAGTGCATGGTTCTGTGTACATGAGTATGTGTGAGCTCATACCTGTTCCTGAGCAAATGCCAGACCCAAGAAATCAGGAAGAATACAAAGTAAAGTCAAAGCTTTTCTGCCTCAGCCAGAGGAGGCCTGGAAAAAGTGTGCTTTGACCTTCTATCTTGGGGGGAATCATTCCTGAAGCTCCAGGACCAGAGGAGTTTATTTGCCTCTTGCCACAAGCCCGGTGGCGGCTAGGGGGAGCAGGAACAAGAGACACCACCTTGCTTCTACGGTAGGGGACTCGGGGCCTGGGACCCTGTGGAGCAGGGAAGGGCTATGCTCCCACTGTTGGGGCTGGATAACTCCCCAGTCTGCCTCTGCCTCCTAGGGTTTGATTAGGGCTCGGTACCAGTGAGGAAGAGGCAGGCTCCAGGGCTTCGCGCTTTCCTGTGACCATGGTAGAGTAGGCCCTGCCCCATTCAGGCTCAGTGATGCCTGGAAACAGCCACTTCCCACCACACCTACCTTTCCACTTATGGCTCTTTTATTTGGGGGTTGGCACACAGACCCAGGCCCAGGAACTGAGTCTGCTGGTGGTAGCCAGTGGATAAGGTGGAGGAGAGGCAGTTTCCCTTCCCTGGCAGAAGTAGGTCCTAGGGGCCCCATAGTGTGGTTGGGGTTTGGGAGCAAGCCAGCCATCCAGCGAGGCTGTGAGGGTAGCCAGGAAAGCAGAAAAGCATAGAACAGGCGGGGAAGCAGCAGGAGAGAGGACAGGCTGCTAGGGCAGGGAGGGGATGAGAGGAAAGGAGAGAGACAGATGGGAAAACAGAGGAGAGAACGCCAAGAAGAAGGCTGCAGCCGGCAGGGGGTGGAGGAGCGTGCGCGGCCCCTCCCCCATGGGCTGATGCCTGAGCCTGCTCCCTTCTTTTTATTTGGGGAAGTGGTGGCTGTTCCCTGAGAGTCTAGGAAGGAGGCTGGCAGTCTGGAGAACATGACAGTGGGCAGGAAAAGGGGGAGAGCATTGGGGAACTTTCTTACCTTTTGACCTGTGGGAAAGGAAAGGAAAAAAAAGCAGCAGCTTTGGTCATTTGGTTCTGCAGTAAAAAACCTACCTTTTCCCTGGCGATAAGGATTTTGTGCCCACACCCCTACCCCAACAAGACCTCTCGGACATGGTCACTCGCTTGACAATCACTCCTTCATTCTCTCAGCAAAGATACATATTGGAAGTCAATATATAAGGTTCAGTGGTGTGTCCCTGTGTGCTCAAGGGCTGGCTGAGCCCTCCTGGGTGGAGTGGGGCCAGTTAGGAGGTATGGGTTCTTGTCCCAACTCTGTCAGCCTGGAGGTGCTCCATGGTGGCCAACCCTGTCATTCACCTGTTTCTTCTGCTTCTGCCTTCATGCCAACGACCCTGCCAGCCTCCCCATCTGTCCCACCCCACATATCTTGGCCCAATCTCTGCTCAGCCTCTCAGAGCTGTTTGTTGTCTCCTGTTTATGACCTTCTGTTCTTAGCTCTTGGCCTTTGCTCGTGCCTCCTGCCACCTGGAAATCTCCCTGGCTCAGCTGTATGTTGTCCTCCTGCAGGAAATCTACATGGGAGCCAACCAGGCTGCGCAGCTGTGGGTCTGCTGGGCTCCTTCTGCAGCACCCACCTGAGTGGTCCTGCGTGTTCTGAAGTGCCCCGATGGTGGGAATCGCCTGCTACTTCTTAAAGGCTAGGATGATCTTTTGTTAATTTTGAGGGATTCTGACCCAGCCAAACCTCCATGGCCTTGCCCTGAGCATGACCTCTAGTTCCCCTGGGCCTTGAGTGTGCAGTGGGAGAAGCATTTACCCTGTTAAGAAACATGAGTAAGCGTGTTTCTTTTTCTTTTTTTTTGAGACGGAGTTTCACTCTTGTTGACCAGGCTAGAGTGCAATGGCACAATCTCTGCTCACTGCAACCTCCACCTCCCAGGTTTAAGCGAATCTCCTGCCTCAGTCTTGCAGGTAGCTGGGATTACAGGCATGTGCCACAACGCCTGGCTAATATATGTAGTTTTTTTTTTTTTTTTAAGAGTTTCTCCATCTTGGTCAGGCTGGTCTCAAACTCCCAACCTCAGGTGATCCACCCTCTTTGGCCTCCAAAAGTGCTGGGATTACAGGCGTGAAAGCATGTTTCTTAAACTGTAACATGTACAGAATATAAGGGCTTGTTTTCATTGTGGACCCTACCACCACCTTCATACAAACACACACACATATATACATTTTTGGCACGCACTAGTTATGGCTGACTGATAGTCCCTGCTTTCACTACTCTCCTCCCTCTTCCAGTTCCCAGCCTTCCAGCCACGGTGCTTACCTGGGTCCATCTTTCTGGGGCAGGAGCAGGGAATGACAGAAGGAATACCTGTGTTCAACAGGTAACTTTTAGTTTACTGTAATCTAACTCACAGTCTTTCTCTGCTCCCTCCCAGGGATGTACGTGCACACACACACACACACACACACCCTTCAAAGGATGAAAGGGAAAAAACTGCCTCCTCTGGCTTAGTTTGGCACCAATATAGAGCTGACACCATAGGTGCCAGGCATGGAGGTTAAATGAACACAGCAGGTTCACCTACATGGTGGGTAGATGGAGACACAGCAGCACATGTACCAGCCCCTACACCCCATACTCTTATACTTGCCCCCCTACCTAGACACAGAATTATGTGTTAATCCGATTCTACTTGGGAAGATTTCAATCTCCATTCAGTCAGTATTATGTTGTGTGCCAGCCATGTGCCTAGTCATGATACCCCTGTCCCTACAGACTCTTTTCCTATGTAAACACCTGGCATGGGGTGGGAGCCGGAAGCTTGGCATGATCAGTGCGCCCAGAGCAGGGAAGGGGAGGATGGGGTTGGTAGGACAGGAATGGGTTGGTGGCCCCTGAGAGGTCCAGGGGATCCTGTGATTTTTGCCCTGAGGTACAAGCAAATGGAAAACTTCCATGGGGTCCTAGCTGCATGTACCTGTCTCCTCCCATCAGGATTGGAAGGGGGTGGAGCTTGGGGTCTGAGCCAACTTGTCATTCACCAACAAGCCGTGCTGTCATGAGATGGAGCTGCCGAGGTACCCTGGTGCCAAGGCTGGCCATGTCTTGCTTGGGGCTGGCATGCAAGTCACTATGGACAACCCCAGAATGGACCCAGTGAACACACAGTACATTTTTTTTTTCAACCCACAGACGGAAGTGTAGTATGTGATGTCAGGAGGAAATAGTTGACATCAGGGCTCTCTGGTACTTACAAGGTTGCTGAGCATGCAAGGACAAACGCCCTGCAATGCAACAACCCCAAGCTCTTGCAAGACATGGCCCCCTGAACCTCTTCTGTCTAGGGAGCCTTGGTTCCTCTTTAAAAAAGTTTTTTTTGAGACAGATTCTCGCTTTGTCATCCAAGCTGAGTGCAGTGGCGCAATTGCAGCTCACTGCAGCCTTGACCTCCAGAGTTCAAGCAATCCTTTCACCTTAGCCTCGGAGTAGCTGGGACTATAGCCATGTGCCACCACACCCAGCTAATTTTTAAAAATTTGTTTTGTAGAGACAAAGTCTCACTATGTTGCCTAGGCTCAATTGATCCTCCCACCTTAGCCTCCCAAAGTGCTGGGATTACAGGCATGAGCCACTGCATCCGGTTTCCTGCACCTCTTGAGCCACCCATTTTCACTGGCTTCTACTTGCTAAAAATGTTCAGCGGAGGTCAGCCTGTGAACTATACCCTTGGTCCTTTCTGCTCCCTCATCCTTTCCCTTAGTAAGTGATGAGGTTAGAAGAGACCCATGGGGCTGGGCTTTGCAGGGAGAAGAAGTAAGGAAAACCTTAGGGCCAGTCACGATCTGGGTAGGACAAAAGAGAGAAGATAGTCCTAAGGCTGTGTCTTCCCAGTTCAGGCCTGGGTGTTTGAGTTGGCAGCTCTGGAAGGGACCTCATGCAATTTCTTCCACCCTCAGCTAAGCCCCCCTGCCTGCCATGGCAAAGACTGTAAATCAATCATAACTGAAAAAAAGAGCAGAAGTGCAGGGGCCCAGCCCAGGAGTGGGGACAGGGCTAATGGACAGACATGCATGCACACAGACACACACCTCCACGCGGAGACACAGAAGCACAGATACCGATTCAATGCATATATACACACAAAGAGACCCTGACCACACGGACACACAACATACCCCATAGAGACCCTACTGTCCCCAGCCAACAGCTAGCAGAGCCAGGTCCCTACCTGAGAGTGCAGAGCAGGGGCAGGAAGTCTGAGGCAATGTCTGTTCTCAGGTGTATTTGTACAGGTCAGGGAGGGGCTGGGATTGACCAGTTGCACTGGGAGGGCCAGGTGCAGAAGGCTCAAGGGAATGAAGAGGGATGGGCTAATCCTTACCTGGGCAAAGGACAGTTGAAAGCAGGGTGTGTGTGTGGGTGCGCACACGCGCACATGTGTGTGATGGGGAGGCTAGGGAACAAGCCGTTACCAGATTGGTGTGGTAATGAGATGCCACAGAATCCAGGCAGAAGTCTCCAACACTGGCAAGGCTGTTTACACCAGGGACTGGCTCTGAACATTTGTAGAGCTCCTACTGAATGCCAGGCCAGGCATGCAGTGCTTCACACATGTTAGTCACCCACTGATTCCTGCAGGTGGGTTGGAGGAAGACATAGCGACCCTAGTAGAGGACCTGGTGGAATCTTTGCCCTGGGTGCCAAGCTCCAGGCATGAATTGTGATGTGCTGCCCAGGCCAGGGAGCTAGTCTGATAATGAAAATCACACACAGAAAAGGGAACTTTTGGGATGGACCTAGGCAAGCAGGGAGGAAGCCCAGGCTGCCAGCTGGCTCTGCACTCTGAAAGCCCCATGTGGTCTGGTCTCCACTGACTCCTGTGGCCTCTGCTGCGTGCCACAACTTCTTGCTTGGTGTGCTCTAGCCACAGTGGCCTTCCTTAGTCGCCTGCAGACAGACTCAGTGCCTTTGCTCAGCTCTCCTGTCTCCCTGGGTCCTTACTCCTGATGTCTTTCACTCCCAGTGGGGACTCTGTGCTTCTCAGAGGCAGGGGCTGTGGTGGCTTTCTTTCTTTTTTGACACAGTCTCATTGTGTCGCCCAGGCTGGAGTGCAGCCGCACGATCTCACTGCAACCTCCGAATCTTGGGTTCAAGTGATTCTCCTGCCTCAGCCATCCCAGCAGCTGGGATTCCACCACTCAGCCTGTGGTGGCTTTCTTAGCCACCTTTGTATCCCCTCGATTAGAGCAATAAATACAAAGGTAACATAATCACTATCAGGATACAATTTGGAAAATGGAGAGGAGGAAGGGAGTGACCCTCCTTTATCTCCGTGGTGGGCAGGAAAGTATTTGTGTGCCAGGTTCTCTTACAGTATCGGTTATCTCGTATCCGCCCTTGATCGTCCCCTCTTTTACAGACTAAAACACACCAGTGTTCAGAGACATTAAAAAACCTGCTTGAGGTTACCTAGCAAGAACGTAGTTAGTCCCAACTGGGGACTATTTGAGTCTAGAGCCCGGGCCCTTTCTTTACCTTAGGTAATCTCTCCCGTTAGGAATGATCTTCTGAAAGATTCCAGCCTGCTTTGTTAACATTATTGGTCAAAGGACTTTGGTTTATGACTAGGTGGGAGGTTATTAGTCCCTTCTGCACACATTTGCTGTGAGCCTATGAGGAACCAGCACAGGGCGGGCTACTGGGGTGGGGCGGAAGTCCCCGGGAGGTTTACAAAGGTGTGGTGCCTGCCAGGCTTGGCCCACGCCCATGCTGTGTGAATGTTACCACCTGCATCCACCGCTCACCGCCCTCACCAGCCCTCTAAGCCCTACTCTGCCTCATTTTCCCCTTCAGGGATCTTGACATGGCAACCTCTCCACCTCTGCCCCCAGCCTTTGACAGGAAGCTGAAAGAGATGCCTGTGTCTTCACAGACTCTCAAGAGGGAAGCACAGGCTGAGAGGAACACATGGGGGCCCAATGCTCTGGGTTCCAGGTTCGGGGCCTAGGTTCTCCATCTGTGGAATCAGGGTCTGAGCTCCAGTGGGTGCCAATCACAGAACCCACTACAGCAGCAGGTGGGAGGGGTAGTGAGGCCTTGGGTGGTGGCAGTAGGCCCTGTCTTGATGGGGCAGACTGAGAAGACAAGGCAGCCCCAGGAGCCTGAGTGGGCCCAGAGGCCTGTTGGAGGTGAGGAGGGCATCTGCAGCAGTGGTGACACATGGGAGTTCATCTGTAGCAGGGTGTACGTGCTCATGGACTGTTCCCCTACACAGTCCTAAGATTTTGAGGGCAAGCAGGGCCTTCTCCGTGTGTGTGGCCCCCTATGCCTCAGCAGACACTGAGCTTTACAGATCATAAGCGCTCACCAAGTGCTTGGGTTTATTGCCTGGCTGAGAGCGATGGCCCTTCCCTGCCAGAAAGCCACAGAGTTGAGAAGGGAGCTCTGTGGAGCAGGAGGAGATACTTTTGGGGTGAGGGGCTGGGATCTGGAAGAGGAGATGGGAAATCAGGGAGAGAAGCTGAAGGGCATCTCCTGGGGCAGTGGAGGCAATGAGGGGGCTCTAGGAGGATGAGGACACAGTGAAGGCCCTCTCTAGAACCCCCAGTGCCTGTCAGCAGAACCAGGAAGGCCCTCTTGCCTCCTGAGCTGCCTTGCAGGGTGGGGGAAGGAGACCGGACAGCCAGGCTCTGCTTCTTGGATGGACAAGTTTTCCAAGGTATGAGGCCAAAGGTATGCACTGGAGAGAGTGCTGCAGGGACGGGCCACCAGCCTGGCACAGTGATTCAGAAGCAGTGGGGAGGACCCTGCCCTAGAGACTCCTGGGCATGTCTCTGACCTTCATCTCCAAAGAGAAACTAATAGCACCTGCCCTGGCTAATTCATAGGTTGCCAGAGCTTGAAGAGATCCAATGGCATCACTTATGTGAGGCTCTGGCATCATTAGACGTTGGAGTGCAGGGCGTTAGTTACTGTTACCATTGTGAGTATCAGAGGCTCCCTTGCCCAGCCCTGGGGACCTGCCTTCAGGACACTTCCCTCGAACCTTTGGCTTCTGGTACTCAGAGCATTCCACTGACAGCCCCCAAGAGGTCCCCTCCCTACCCCAGCCTCCTGCAACTCCCTCTTCCCCCAGGGCGCCCAGCATCCAGGTGTGCCTAGGACAGAGGCATGTTCCAGACTCAGGACTTTCAGTGCTAAAACTGAGACAGTTCCAGGCAAGTGGGGACAATTGGCCACCCTACTACCCACCACAGGTGTCCAGGCCCTGCCGGATTTTAGTGTGCTGTCACCCTGGTCACCCTTCCCTGCCTAGCTGCCTCTAGGCCGGGTGAAAGCCCCTGAGCCATACTGCCTAAGGCCACTCCAGAGGCCCATGCCCTCTCCTCAGTGGCCTGGGCTCTCACACTTCCCTCAGCTTCCTAGTCACCCTTCTCTCCATGCCTCAAAGCCACACTGGACCTTTTTCCTACCCCAGAGATGCTGCCTCAGCCCTATGTGACAAGCCTAGAGAAGAGGTAGAGACTGTCCCATCTAGCCTTCCAGCTTCTGCTGCCTGGTGAGCACCCTTCCCAGAGACATCAGGCCACCCTGTTCTGTGCCCGACTCTGTGAAGACCCCCAGGCCTGAGTGCCTGATGCTGCCTGGGCTGTTTCCCTCTCCACTGCCACACCAGCCACGCCAAGGCTCTGAGTCCTCCTGAAGGCTCTCCCACTTCTCTTTTCCCTGGACACCTCTTGCCCTGCCTGGCCCAGATGCCTCCCGCCGGCATCTGGACACAGCCTCCTAACTGCCCCCAACCCTACCCCTGCACTATGCGACCCACCTGGACCACTCTGGTTTCAGCTTCCTAAACCACAGAGTGGCCTCATCAGCAGTTGCTGTAAAACTTTTAGCACCTCTGGATGGCTCTACCTCCTCAGTCTGGTCTGTACCTTCCTAACCTAACGTCCTCTTGCAGGTAAAAGCCACCGCTACTCTCCTACCTCCCGTGACCCTGATATCTCCTGTGCATTCATGGAATGCCCTCTCTTCCCATCCCCCTATCTGAGTCTTGCTCATCCCTTTGAAGCTCATCTCCTTCTGAAAACTGCCTGGTGGGCCTGAGCCCTGTGCTGACTGGGCCTCAGGCTAACACAGCCTGGTACTGGCAGGTGCCTCCAAGGTCTTTCCCTGCTGGTTCCTGCATCCCCTTAGCTAGGTGAAAAACACAGTAGGTGCTCTGCTTATGATGTGGCATGGGCAAGCCCCAAGAGAGCAGCACTCAGCCTCTGCTCGTGGGCAGCTCTGGGCTGAGGGTCAAGGCGGGGCTTCTGGGAAAACATGATGGGTCCCCTTTGCACCATGAAGAAATCCAACGTTGGTGCATGAGAACAGAGCACCAACAAAGAGGGACCTCAGGGTCTCAGGTCCATGCCAGTGTTCACCTCCCATTGCTGGGCCTGACGCCAGAAGGTTCAGGATGCTCCAGCCCTGGGTGTGTCCTGGAGAGCAGAATGGAGGAGTGTGTCCTTGGTCCAGCTTACCTTCTGCTTCTGATGCCTCAAAGGGCTTCACTCTCCCCACCCTGCTCTGGCATGTGTGTTTTTCAAAAGGTGTGGCCCAGACTTCGTCCCTGGCAGCTGGAGCCTGCCCAGAGCTGGTCCCTCCAGTCCCACCTTGTGCATTCTGAGTGCTCCCCAGCCAGGACTAGGCCTGGCCTGACCAGACCTCAAGTTCTGGGAGCCAGGACAGCAGTTTCTTGAGAAAAGAATGGCCATAGTGGGGCAGGGAGGAAGGATGGCTTTGCAGGAAGGGATCACTGTGCTTTAAGCTACTCTCTGGCCCCTTTCCATCTGGAGGGACCCCTGCCTAGTAGCTGGGCTCTCATGCAGTCCAGCCTGGCTCACTCTCTTCCTCAATACTCACCCACACACCCAGGGCTGGCAAGTGGCACCAGTGACCTCTAAGGGCTCGGCACCCCACCGAGAAGAATGGTTCCCGAGCATTGGTATGTGAGCCTGGAACTGGGCCTGGGGGGATCCAGAGGCAGGTAGAGTGCAGGGACTACTCCAGAAGCACCAATGCTGGCTGGGGAGAGATGGCAACCAGGGCTTGGAACTTCAGAGGGGATAGGGAGGGACAGGGAGGACTCCCTGGAGGGGGTGTGCTGGGCAGGAGACCTGAGGTGAGGTGGCTAAGGAAGTGCCTCAGGATCTTCTCCACCTGGTCACAAATGGTCTGCATAACCCAGAAGTCTTAATGTGTTCAGGCCCCAGCAGGCTGGTGGGAGGCAGCCTTTGGGTCCCTCAAGGAATGCTGGGGAGGTAGCATCCAGGAGGTGGCCATCAGGAAGTTCCCTTAGGCAAGAAAACTGTTTTGAGCCTTGCTCTGGGTACGCTTTGTTCCAGATGTGGATGGTTACCCATGTTATTTCCTCTCCAGATGATTTTGTTAAGCAGGTACACTTTATTTTATAGATGAGGGCCAGAGAGAGAAGGGACACAGCCAGTAGGGGGTGAAGTTCATCTGGAATCCATCCATCCCCCACCCCCATCTTCTGGCAAGGCTAAGGAAAAGGGCAGGGGCCAGCTTGCTTAAGTTTCATTGATCCAGCTGCAGGGGCAGCATTCTGGACACAGAATGAGGTCTGAGCAGTGCGGCCCTTGTGGGTGGAGCCTCTACTGGGTCTGTGCTCCCAGGGGCAGGGTGTCTCTGTGAGTGGCTCACAGGGTCTTTCCTCCCCTGCGGCCTTCTTCCCCCTTTCTCCTCAGTGAGAATCCCGGCTTGCAGCCATCTTATCCTTAGGGCTGGCCCTAGGTCTGTGCTCTGAGGATCATGATTACAGTCCAGATATGGTGCCTTCCGGACCTCGGGGGGTATTGCCTGAGCCAGCAGGTGGCCTGGGAGGGTGGGGGACCACAGGGAAGAGCCTGTGCCCGAGGTGCTGGGACACCTGACCCAACCCCAGGTGGAGAGAGGGAGGGCACAGAATAAAGGATCAGCAGAACAGCGTTGGTGGGCAGCCAGTGAAGGCGCCCTGGGCAGGAGGCAGGGCCCAGGCGTGTGGTCTCAATGGCATCAGAGACAGGGTGTGCCACCTGGACAGAGGGTAGCACCTCTTTGGGCTTCAGCTTCCTCATCAATAAAATAAGTCTTCTACAACCTGATGGCTTCTCTAGTCTGATGGAGTTGGGAGGTGGAAGCTACAGGGACTTGGGGGAGGCCCTGGGGAACAACAGAGAAGGGGAACTGCCTTGCTCACCCAGAACCAGGCTGTTGCAGCTCTGCTGCCCCTTAGTGGCGACACAGAGAAACAGACGCAGTCTCATGGGGACAGTAAGCTGATCCTCCTTCGTCTCCCCTGCTTCCTGTGGGCTTCACTCCAGGACACAGGCAGGCACTCTTAGGGCGTCTTTACTACCCACCAGCTCCCTCAGGGCTGCTTGCATTCTAGGTGGACAGAAAGGCAGTTCCAGCCTATTCACAGGATACCCAAGCTATGCACAGGATGGCAAGCACCATTCACGCACGTCTTGCTATGCACAGGATGGCAAGCACAATTCACTCACGTCTTAATTCTGTAAGTGCTGATGGAGGTTCTTTAGTATGCAGGGGCATCGTGCCAGGCACTGGGGATCCAGAGGCACTTGGCACATCATTCTTGCCCTCAGAGAGCCTCTGTCCAATGGAGAGCAGACAGGCCAACCACAGACTCTGGGAAAAGTGGGAGACTGTGGGAGCTGCTCAGAGGTGTGATGTCTTGTGTGAATAACACTGGGAAACACACGGCCAGCAGCTGCGGGTCCCCTCTATGACTGTTGGTTTGTCCTGCGCACCCCTCCAGCCTGACAGACCAGGAGGCCTTTGCCCTAGATTAGGGGAGTGTGTCCCTGCAAGCCCCTGCAAAAGAGCTGAGTGGCCATCCCATAGGTGATGAGCCTGTGACCATGCCTCTATTCCTGTGCTGCCCTTCCGCCTGCACCTTGGCTGGGAATGAAGGAGAGGGGTACACAGAACTTGCCTCGTCCCTGTAGCTTCCCCCATCTACGCGCCTCCTGCGCACACCTGGTCCAGGCCTGAGTTCTGAAGAGGGTGCAGAGCATTAGTTCTCCCTCCGCAGCCAGTGCTCAGTGGGCCTCCCAGCTCCAACAACACAGTGCAGGGCAGGCGGAGGGAAGCTTGAGGCTGCTTGAGGCTTCTGAAGCCTCCTGAGACTGGCCTGGAACTCAGTTGACTGTGTGGGGCAGGACACAGAGCGGGTGGGAGAAGGAGAGAGAATGTGTGTGCGTTTGTATGTGAGAGAGGCCTGGGAAGCGGAGCCTGGGTGCGTCATGGTTGCTGGGAGTTGACGAGTCTGACTCAGTGGGGACATCCGGCAGGAAAGGAAGGGAGAGCACAGTGGCATTTGCAAGCAGGATGGGAACTCTGGGGTGGTGGAGATGGGGTGTGAGGCCAGGGGTGCCGTGTGAAGGCCTGGACAGGAAGGGGCTAAGCCTGGTGGAGGTGGGGGTGGGGCGGGGAGGAAGTGGGAGGGAAAGGCAGTTCTGGAGGGGTGGAGGTTGGACCTCTGGCTGCCTGGGTGGGTCTGGGAGGAGAAAGAAGCCAGCAGGGGTTCCTGCTCTGAAGACAGAAGGGACAAGTTGTGGAATTCGGGAAACTGGCCTGGTTAATCAGGGGTGTGGGGAATGCAAGGGCTTCTGATTCTCACCTGAGGGCCTGGAGGTCAGGACCTTGTTGCTGTGGAAACAGACTCCATGAATTCCCACTCCAGAGAGACCACCCTCCTATCAGCACCCCCAAGGCTTGAGTCCCAGAGGCTCTAGGGTGGCCCTGCCAGGCAGCTTGTCCCCCTGGGCATGGATACCAGCCTCAGCTGTATGAGGAAGATATGCAGAGGAGCTCTCCTGAGAAGGGCTGATTACTTTGCCAGGTTCGGAGAGGCTGAAAAAGCCAGTCTTGGAGAGCAAGGCCAGAAAGGGCCTAGACTTAGGGCCCGAGGGAGGAAGGCTGTTGACCAGCTCTGAGCTGCCACGGAGGGGCCCTGGAGGAAGGCCTGGCTTGCCATGCCAAAGGGCGAGAGACCCAAACAACTGAGCCCCCTGGGAGTGGCTGTGCTTTAAAACATAACCATTTGCCTCCTAATGCCAGGGCTGTGTTCTGAGAAACATGTTAGGTGATTTTGTCATTGTGCGAACACCACAGAGTGCACTTCCACAAACCTAAACGGCACGGCCTGCCACACACCCAGGCTAGACGGTACAGCCCATTGCTCCTGGGCTACAAACCTGTACAGCAGGTTACTGTACTGCATACTGTAGGCAGCTCTATCACAGCACTAAGTGTTTACATATCTAAACACAGAAAAGGTATAATAAAGATATGGTGGAAAAGATTGCAAACGGCACACCTGTATAGGGCACTTGCCGTGAGTGGAGCCTGCAGGACTGGAAGTTGCTCTGGTGAATCACTGAGTGAGTGGTGAGTGAATCTGAGGCCTAGGACATTACCGTCTGCTACTCTAGACTTTATAAACACTGTACACTTAGGTTAGACTGAATTTATAAGAATGGTTTTTTGGTCAGGCACAGTGGCTCCTACCTGTTATCCTAGCACTTTGGGAGGCCAAGGCAGGAGGATCACTTGAGCCCAGGTGTTCAAGACCAGCCTGTGCAACATAGCAATGTAAAAAATTTTAAAAGTTAGCTGCACATGATGGCATGCGTGTGTAGTCCAAGCTACTCAGGAGGCTGAGGCAGGAGGATCCCTTGAGCCCAGGAGGCTGAGGCTGCAGCGAGCTGTGATCACGTCACTGCTCTCTGGCCTGGGTGACAGAGTGAGACCCTGTCTCAAAAAATGAAAAATTAAAAAAATATATCTCTTCAGTAATGTTAACCTTAGCTTATAGTAACTTTTATACTTTATACACCTTTAAATTTTTAAAAACTTTTTGACTCTCTTGGTAATAACACTTAGCTTAAAACACAAATACCTTGTACAGCTGTACAAAAATATTTTCTTTTTGTATCCTTATTCTATGTTTTTTCCTATTTTGAAACTTTTTAACTTTTCAAACTTTTTTGGTAAAAACTAACACACACGTTAGCCTAGGTCTACATAGGGTCAGAACCATCAACATCACTGTCTTCCACCTTACAGCTTGTCCCACTGGAAGGTTTTCAGGGGCAGTAACAGGGCTGCAGCTGTCACCTCCTGTGATAACAATGCCCTCTTCTGGAATTCCTCCTGAAGGACCTGCCTGAGGCTGTTTTACAGTACTTTTTTTTTTGTAAGTAGAATAAACATCCTCTAAAATAATGATAAAAAGTATAGTAAATATACAAGCCAGTAACATAACGGTGAATTATCAGGTATTCTGTCCTGTGCATGCTTGTATTGCCATACTTCTGTATGACTGGCAGTGCAATAGGTCTGTTTACACCAGCATCCCCATAAGCACAGGAGTAGTGCCCTGTGCTGTGATGTTATGATGGCTACAATGTCACTAAGCCATAGGAATTTTTAGCTCCATTGTAATCTTATGGGACTGCCATCAACTATGTGGTCCGTTGTTGAGTGAAATGTTATCTGGTACATGACTGCACAGAGAAGACAATGTCCAACCTAAAAGAATGAATGGCTAGTGTTGTCATTTTAGACATGTGGTAGTACTTGGTGGTCTAGGGGAACTGAGCTTCTTGATCCCTGTGATTTACTTGAATCAAGGCTGATGAGGAGAAGGCGCAGGAGAGGGGAGGCGTGTTTGTGTGCCGCAAGCCTGTATCTACTGGTGGGAGACACAGAGGCCTATGCTGGCTGCCCATCTTTTCTGCAGGCCAGCCCAGGCTGGGTTCCTGCTGGGGCGGGGCAGGGAGAGGTGCTAGGCAGGACCAGCCAGCTGCCAGTGCCCTGGTCCTCGCCCTCTGAGAGTGGAAGGGTGGGGGTGGCGGCCCAGCGTTCCTGGCTGGGAGCCCAGAGGAGTCTTTTGTAATCACAACATGATCTCGTGTGCTGAGCAGCGAAGCCGGCAGGGAGAGGCCAGCAAAGGCCCGGCTCTGGTGGCTCCAGCTTCCCTCCCACTCTGGCTCCCCAGGGGCTGCTCTGGAATTCTCTCGGTGCTCGCTGTTGCCATGCACTCGGCTGTGAGTGGCACTCTGCCTTTGGCAGGGGGCTTCTTGGGACTGGGAGGGGACTGGGATACCAGGCAGTCACCCTTTGGGGGCGGCTGGGGACAGCTGGGGCTGGGAGGAAGAGGCCTGTGACTAGATGGGTTAAGGGCAGGCCACAACAGAGACCCTGCAGGCAGATAGGGAGGAACCTGGAATCTCGAAGCAGAGACATGGCTTGCCCAGGGTGACTCTGGGCTGGGGCCGCCAGGGGAGCTGGCTCTCTCCGTCCTGACTGCCAGCAGCTTTCGGCCTAAAGAGGCTGGGCCCATGGGAGCCGCTCTTTCCTCCAGGCTGCGCACAGGCCTGGGTTTGGGGTCCAGAGCTTGAGAGCCCAGGAGGGAGTCAGGGCCTCTCCTCTTTCTGTGGTTGTGAATCTGGGAGCCTAACAGCTCCCACCTCGACCTCTTGAATCCCCTGGCAGCTTCCCAGTAACGGCAGGTTCCTCTGCCAGAGCCATTTATAACTCCCATTCCAGGCTCTGCTCCGCAGTGAAGCTCCCGGGAGAGCTGGGGGAGGGGCAGCCCACTGCTGGGAGCTGTGACTGCGGGTATGAGGCCCTGACCTGAGCCCCCCAGGAGTCAGGGACAGGCAGACAGGCCTAGCTGGAATGGGGGCTTGGGGCTTTCTTTGGGCCATCTGCCTGAGCAATCCCCTTCCTTCCTGGGTGACCTTAGCTGTGGGTATGGGATCTGTTCTTTGGGTGGTAAAATGTGAAAGCTGGGGACTGGAGGTGGGGACCCGGAAGTCAGGAGCTTGGGATCCCTGCCTCTGCAGGGGCCTCCCAGAGCCGAGTCCCCCATGCGCAGGCAGGAGAAGGACGCAGAGCTGGATCGGAGGATAGTTGCCCTGCGCAAGAAGAACCAGGCCTTGCTCCGCAGGTACCAGGTGAGTGGGCTGCCACAGGGCCAGGAGGACCCGCTTGGCTGCCACTCCCTGATTGTCCAACACTTGGTGGTCTTTCCCTGAGAGCTCAGGAATGCATCTTGGGCCTGGGGCTAGGGGTAGGGTGGGCATGGTCCCTCTCAGAGGCTTGGTCAGGGTCCTAGGGATGTGTGATGTGGTGTCTCTGCCCCCTGGTGTCCCACTGGTGTCTCTCTGTGTAGGCCTGTCAGCGTCAGTGTCTCTGTGAACCTGGGGGGCCGTGGCGTGTGCTGACCCCGGGCCCTCCCACAGGAGATCCAGGAGGACCGTCGGCAGGCAGAGCAGGGGGGCATGGCTGTGACCACACCACCGCTCCTCCAGCCCGATGGCCTCACTGTCACCATCAGCCAGGTTCCTGGTGTAAGCCTCACCCTGGGAGACAGGGCGTGTGGTGAGGAGGTGGAGGGCTAGACCATGTCGGGGGAAGACAGCTGCCTCTGTTCCCCTCTCCCACTAACTGTTCCAGGGTGCACCCACCAGCTCCCAACCTCCTGCAACCTGGCCACTGCTGTCCCCACCAAAGAGCCACAGCTGAAATCCCCCGTCCCCAGTAGAAGCCTCCTCGTACCCTTTTCTAGCCCACAGCTCTGCACCTATGCGGCAAAGTACACTCCTAAACCTCAAGCCCCAGGGGTAAAAACCCTGCAGGAAGTGGGGGACAGAGAGTTGGGGCTGAATGCCAGAAGCAGTGTCTGAGGGACAGAGATGCATTGTCTCAGTGCTCTGGGTTTCCCAGCTCAGCGATGACGGGCCACTGTGGCATCTTGGTCCTCTGAGTGGCCCTGGGCCATGGATAACCTCATGCCATTGGCATGTGAACACCCTGTGGGAGTCAGCTCCTCTGTGGGCATTGCAGGGAGGGCTGGGGGTGGAACCCAGGCCTGGGGAACCACTGAGAGGACCCAGCACCTAGGTCCTACCCAGCACCGCACATGTGGCCTGAGGGTCTTTGTTCTGCAGGAAAAGCGGGTGGTTAGCAGGAACTGGACAAGGGGCACCTGCAGACCCAGAGTGGCCAATGAGATGCTTGAGGATGAGGACGCAGAGGACTATGGCGGTCCTTTCTGCTTAGGGGAGCGGGTAGAGCTGGCGGTGACCATGGAGAACAAAGCAGAGGTGAGCAGGGTGGGTGGGAGTGCAGGCACTGGCAGGCAGCCTCTTCCCTGGCTCTGCTGCACTGCTTATCTTCACCCTCCCCAGGCCAAACGGATTGTAAGTGAAAAGCCCACCAGAGCAAGGAACCAGGGCACAGAGGGGTCACCTGGAGGGTGCGTGGCCCGGAGTCCCCCCATGCAGGTGGCCATCAGCTCGGATTCTGCACAGAAGGTACACCTTCAGAGGGGATGGGGACATGGATCTGAAGGTCCTCACTTGGTGGAGGCAGAGAAGCTGAGTCAGATATGTCCCTCATCTTCAGGGACGTGGCCGAGGCAGCACCTGCAGGAGCTCCTGCTCCTCCTTCCTTTCTCTGACCAGTCTCTACTTTGATTGGGCCTTGAAGTGGGAGACAGTTTAAGCCAGAGATGTGATCCAGCCTCCTCCCCTATCTAGCCCCTCTGGTGGGAGAGGAGCAGGGGAGGGGGCAGGAGGGTGGAGGGGACTGGCCAAGTGCCAGGTGTGACCTCTAGGTGGCAGCACCCTCTAGTCCTTGCCCTTGCTCACAGCCTCCAGTGCCCCTCCCACTCCGGCCTGTCTGCACACCCCCTGCAACAACCCTGTGGGTTGGTGCTATGGAGATCCCCATTTTACAGATGAGGGAATGAAACACTGGTTAAATTACTTGCCTAAAACACACAACTAACAAGTAGATGGAAACCATTTCCACGAGAGAGCTGGAACAGACCTCTAGCTGGGGATGTGAAAACCTTCAGAGAAGAAACATCTGGAGTCTCCAGACCCCACTCTAAGCCTCTTCCTGCTTTTCTTCCCCCTCCACCCCGCCCCCCCGCTGACTGTCTTATTCCTGCAGGGTGCTCGGGAGCCCCGGAGCCAGCCTGTGGGGGAACCCCCGGAGGTGGGCTGGGACTATGCCCAGTGGAAGCAGGAGCGGGAGCAGATTGACCTAGCCCGCCTTGCCCGGCACAGAGATGCACAGGGTGACTGGCGCCGCCCGTGGGACCTGGACAAGGCCAAGCCCATGTGGGTGGCCGGGCTGGGCAGCTTGCTGGGCTTGTGTCCTTGTGGTGCTGGGATGGAGCTTAGAGGGCTGCAGGGACCCTCCTTGGGGTGAAGAGGACCTTGCCGGGGCTCTCTGGTCAGGCCCAGCGTTCAAGGCTCTGTGTGCGCACTGGGTCTCCCATCTTTCTTGGGCCTACCATCTCCCTGCTGCCTTCAATTCTGGGCCTGGGCTTGGAGGAAGGGGTGTCAGGGTGGGGCCCATGGTAGCTTCTGTGCACTAGCAACCTGACTCCCTTGTCTGTCTACACAGGCTACACGACTGCAGCCAGCTGAGGGAAGAAGGCCTGGCCAGGGCAGGCAGAAGGGGTGAGCCCACACCCACCTCGTTCCTCCCCTTCTAGGCTTTATTCATCTTTCACCCCCTTATCCTCTCTTTCCTCTGTCTCTTAGTTTCCTACTTATTTTCAGAGCTGAAAGGAAGCCTTGGAGAACGTCTTCCTTCCTTTCCCTTGCTATCAGAGGAGAGCACCAAGAGCTCCCATTCTCCCCTCTGAGCCCACAGCTCTTGTCCAGGTTCTGACCAGAAGGCCCCAGAAGCAGGCTCGGTGGAAGCCTGCCCTGGGGTCTCTTTGAGGTCCTGGTCCCTACTGGGTGAAAGTCCTGGTGGTCCTGCCTCGGGCCTTCTGTAGAAACAGCTCTGTGGATTTCTGGTCCCCTCGTTTTATATATAAAGAAGCTGTGGCCTGAGAGTTGGGGCCAGACACCCAGCCATGGAGTGGCAAAGCTGACACAGGACCAGACTCTCCTGACCCCCAGGCCAGGGTGCTTTTGGGGAGGCAAAACCCACGACTGGCCCTGAGGACTGACAGCTTCCTGAGGTTCCTCTTTTGGATCTTTTGTCACCCCACCTTTCTCCACTTCCTTTGTCCCCCACAGGTCCCAGGAGCCACCGGAAACTACAGCCCCCACCATTGCTCCCTGATGGAAAAGGTGAGTTGGGAGGAGGAGGGTCTGGGTCCCGTCAGCTAAAGAAGGAGTGGCTGCCATGGACCTCTTATCTCCTTGGATTGTGGACCATCTCTTGCAGGTCGGGGTGGGCAACCCAGCAGACCCTTGGTGGCACCAGCCGCAGGCAGCAAAGCCCGGGGCACAGAGAGGCTGACTGGCAGGGCCCGAAGGTAACAGGTGGCAGGGGACAAAATCAAGGCGGGCATCTGGGTGTCCCAATTTCCTGGACCAGCACAGGCCCAGGTGCCAGCTTTGTCCCTGGGGCCCCTACCTCCTGGCTGACTGCTGCCTGGCGACAGGTTAATGAGAGGCTGGGAGAGACCATCAGCAAAGGCGGTAGTGAGAGCCCAGTGCTCAGGGAGGCCAGTGGTAATTACAGCAGCTCCCTTCCCCTGGGAAGTGAGGTGTGCCTTTCCCAGGCAGTGCAGGCAGGGACATGCCTGGAGTCCCCACAGAACTCAAGGTGCTGCAGGCTTGGCCATAAACAGCAGCTGGGGGCCCAGGATGGGGCCAGAGTGGGTGGCATTCAGAGGAAATAGTTGGATTTAGGGGACAAGGTCAGGCTTGGGAGTGGGAAGGATCCTGGAGCCACATTCTGGCTCTGATCCCAGTCTGAGACCCTTGGGCTTTGGCTTCTCTCAGGGGTTTCTTTTGCAAGGAGGTGGAGGTTGAGAGGAAGTGGAGGCCCAGAGAGGGTGGAGGGAGGCCCCTTGTCTCTGGTTCTGACATGGCTACTGCTCTCTGCTGAGGGCTGTGGGGCTTTTGGGAGAGTCCAGATCACCCCTGGGATTTCTCTACTGCCCAATGTGAGACGTAAACCATGGGATCCCAGCTCAGCCTCAGCCTTCCTTACTGGCTCTCAACTCTACCCCACCCCTCTATTCAGACAGGGGACATGGGCCACCGGCTCTGTAGTGAAGTGGGGCGGGGTGTACTATTGCGCTTTGTTTCTACAGGTGGGATATGAAGGAGGAAGACAAGGAGGAGCTGGAGAGTCAGGAGGTAGGTACTTGAGTATAGGATGGGGCAGGCTGGGGACTTGAGCCCTGGATTCACCAGCCACTGGGGCTGTTCTCTTGTTTTAGGGAAGCCAAAGCACCAGAGAGACTCCCAGTGAGGAGGAGCAAGCACAGAAGCAGAGCGGGATGGAGCGGGGCCATCTGGGGAGCACCCCTGCAGCCAACCCAGCCCTGGCATCCCCAGGGGGGCCAAAGGGAGAGTCAGCAGCTTCCACAGCCAGCTCAGTCCCCTGCTCTCCACAGGAGCCTGACTTGACTCCTCTTGACCTTTCTGTAGGAGGGGCTAGCATCCCTGGGCCTAAGGAGGGCACGTTTTTGCTCAATCTGAGGCCTGGGGCCCAGGAGAGCCCTGTGTCTTGGCCAGATGGCTCTGAGCAGCAGCCTCTGGAGTGGAATAATCACCAGGCTGAGCTGGAAGTCCAGACTTGCCCTGAGCCACAGAGAGGAGCAGGGCCTCCAGAGCCCAGAGAAGACAGGTCTGGTAAGGCTGGGGCCCAGCAGGGCCTGGCGCAGAGAAGCTGGGCCCCGAGAGGACGCAGCCAAAGGCTGAGAGGCACAGCAGGTGTGAGGCGCAGGACAGGGCGTCCTGGCCCTGCAGGAAGATGCTGAACATAGTCCTGGGAGCTGGGGAGGCTGCGGGGAGAGGAAAAGGGAAGCACTCCATGAGGAGCCCTCCATGTGATGGCCATGTGGTTGCTGTGGCTTGTGCCAGTGTCACTGAGCAGTGTGGCAAACTTGCCAGCACGACAACCTTGTGAGGGCAAGGAGTGGCCTCCCTGTAGCTCGCACACTCATCCCGGTGCACATGTGTGTTTTCACTCACGGGCACAGCCCCTGGTGTATTCCTGTACTGGTGCCTGGCATCTGAGGCTAGGGCACCCTGACCTGGGCCTACTGCTGCCCAGGCCACAAGCCTTTTCCACCATAACTAGAGAACGAGGCTTAGTGGCACCCAGCACCTGGCTCTCCATCACTGCCCCCCCACTCAGGGCCTGGACTCCCTTTCCAGCTTCAGGCTTCCACTTCTGGCCTGGGCTGGAATCCCCCAGTCCCAGATTCCCAGGATACCCAACCAGGGGAATCCTGAGGCATGGAGGATGAGAGGCCTCAGTTCAACAAACATTTCTACACAGCTGGCAACGTCTGGCCTGGGCAAAGAAGAGCAGAGCTCATGTCTTCTCAGTGAAAAGGAGGATCTCTGGAAAGTCTTCCTCTCTGAAATGGGGTGGGATGGGGAGGGACAACCTCATCTCCCCACAGCAGGATGGGAGAGCTCACTCCCAGGCCCCCACACCCAGGTCAGACATCACGTGCACCCTGAACAGAGGCAAGGGCCTGGCCCCGCAGCCTAGGGTCATTTCCTGCTCTCTCCACTTCCTTTCCCCACCGCCCTGCACTAGCACCAGGGCCAGGCAAAGGCAAGAATGAGAGAGGGACTCTGCAGACAGAGAAACAACTTCCAGTTAAGTATGACATCAGGACTTATCTTTCCTACGAAGCCTCCATCCCCACCCTCCCCTGAGGCCCATGTCTGCTGTATTATCCGAACTCCGCACAAGCTGTGGCTTCCTCTCAGTTCAACAAACATTTCCTGAGCACCCACTACCAGTAATCCAGCCGGTAGGCGACGGAGACTGCCAGCAAGAGGGAGCGAAGAAACCCAGCCATCCGGCAGATCTGTGCTGCTCTGGGTGGGAGCTGGGGGCAGGGTGGCGGTAGGAACTCCAGGGGACCCTCCCACCTCTGCCTGGCAGAAGCAGGTGTCTTTGTTATGTGTGCCTTTTGCTCCCAAGCCCTGGTCTGGACCTCACCGCATGGTCCCCTCTGCCCCCTCCTCTCTGGTCCTGCCAGGGCCGCTTCTCTCTGCTGAGGGCTGTGGACCTCTAGGGAGTATCAGGGTCACCCTGAGATTTCTCCACTGTCCAATGTGAGACCTAAACTGTGGGGTCCCAGCTCAGCCTTCCTCACTGGCTCTCAACTCTACCCCAGCCCTCTATTCAGGAAGGTGAGGCGTGTCTCTTCAGCAGACCAGACTGTTTTGAGAAGTGCTTCTCATACTTTAACTGAAGAGTCGTCAGATTCCAGTGGCCTGGGGAGGGCCTTTTTAGGGTCTTGCTGTATCACCTAGGCTGGATACAATCCAGTGGTGCAATCATGGTTCACTGCAGCCTTGAACCCTTCAGGCTCAGGCAATCCTCTCACCTCAGCCTCCCAAGTAGCTGGGACTACAGGCATGCCACCGTGCCTAGCTAACTTTTGTATTTTTTGTAGAAGCAGGGTTTCACCATGATGCCCAGGCTGGTCTCCAACTCCTGGGCTCAAGTGATCCTCTTGCCGTGGCCTCCTACACTGTTGGGATTACAGGTGTGGAGCCACCATGCCTGACAGAGAATTCATATATATATATTTTCCCTCTGGATTTGTCTGGAGCAGAGAGAATTCATATTTCTAAGAGGCTTCAGGTGAAGTCCATGGTGGTTCCTGGACCATGCTTTTTAGTAGTAAGGATTTGGACTAGAATATATGGAGGGCTGGGGGTGAAGAGCCTCTAGACTCTAAGTGTTGGTGGCTATGTAAGCAGGGTGGAGTGCTACCCCTGTCAGGTGGCGGGGGCTTCCTGGCTTCAGACTTGGGGAAGATGCTTTGGAAGGCAGTGAGTGGGTGGTGTCAACTTCTGGTAGTGCAGTGGGAGAGCTGGTCAGGGAAGGGACGAAGTGAAGAGGGCAGAGGTGGTTGGTGTGGGGTTGATCAGAGGAATTTTGGAAAGCCTTGGAAACATTCCTAAGTGTGTGAGACACGCCTATGCCAGGGCGAAGACTCCAAGCTCAAGTTTTTCCTCTTGCCTTCTAGTCACAGGATCATGGCTTTGGAGTGTGACACTGGCCTAGGAATCCATGACTCCCAAAGGATGGGGCTGGGGTAGAGGAGGTTCAGGCAGAGCCCTTGGATTTTGGAGACACCAAGCAGATGTCTCCAAAAAGTATGGTGATCAAGAATCTGAATTATAAGATTCACAATCTGCTCCCTAACCCAGTGCTGCCAACTGTACAGCTGCGTCTTCACAAGAGGCATACGCTAGGCTCGTCTGACCCTGGTGAGGATGCAGGAAGTAGGCAGGGCCCTGGTTCAGCCCTCACAATGGGACTGAAGCAGGAGAGAAGGCTGTGGGGCAGTAGGGCTTGTCTCCGTGGGGTGACATCCAGAAGGATGTCAGGAGGAGGGATGTCACAGGAGTTACAGGGATTGGCAGGAACAGAGACTGGCACAGGACCTCGCAGGAAGATGGTAGTGTAGGCAGGTAACATAGAGTTCTTCTCATAAAAAGAGAGCTCTTCTGCAATATTAGGGAAGTGGTAGTTATGGTGGTAACCCCCGGCTATCCGTCCAGGTGGGTGCCACCCCTCCTGCTCTAGGAGGGAAGCAGGCATGCAGCGGGAGGAAGGCGCAGTGAGACACCCCTCCACAGACCATGGCATCATGGGAAGCTGGTTCTACCTCTTCCTGACTGCTTTGTTTAAAGACCTGGCTGGGAGCCTTCCTTTTGGGTACCCTTCTCTTCTCCAACCAACAGACCAGATTGCTCTTCAAAGGTCAAATGTCTTCATGAAACACAGCTGCCAGGAGCCCAGGCACAGGGCTGGGGGCCTGGAGAAAGGAGGGCATACAGGAGGAGGGAGGAGCCTGTAGGGAGATGGGCTTCACCTAAGGTCTTGAAACAAGAAGGGCAGAATAGGCAGAGGCCTCTCCGTCCCAAGCCCATTTTTGACAGATGGTGGGAAGGAAATGAAACAGACCAGCTTGCAAGAAAGACATGTGTTTTGATGACAGGCAGTGTGGCCGGGTGGTACAAGCGCAGGCCTTTGAATCCGACGGACTGAATCTGAACCCTAGGCCGCCATCTGTCAACCGGGTGACCTGGGTCAATTTTAGCCCCTAAAAGCCTCAGTATCCTTATCTGCAAAATGAGGCTTGTGATACCTACTTTGAAGGGTTGCTGATAAAATTAAAGATAAGAGTCTGCAAAATAGTCTGCAGCCACACCACCCTGAACACGCCAGATCTCATCTGATCTTGGAAGCTAAGCAGGGTTAGTACTTGGATGGGAGAGTATGCAAAATATACCTGCCCGCAGTTGGACTCTCTTAACAGTAGCCTCGTACACAGAAGGCACTCAGTAAATATTTGTCGAATAAATGAAGTAGCGATTTGGTGTGATCTCCCTACTTTGTTTTCTATCTTTTCTTTACCTTCTCTTCTAGCCCCATCTTTGCTGGGGGCAAGGGTCAGAGTACTTTCTGGGAAACAAGGAATGGTCTGTAAAGTTTATCTGGCCCTCCAGGCGAGCTTCCTTCAGTCTTCTGGGGTGGGGGGTGAGAGGTGGGGTGGGGGGGGGAGGGTCCAGTGGAGTCTCAGCCTGAGCAGAGTCCCGGCTTTACCAAGGAGAGTTCTTTGACCTCCCCTACTGGCTCCATCCCACTTAACCCTTCACCTGCCACAGCTCACAGGGATTCCTCCTCTCTTCTGTTTACCTCAGTAGCAATCTCACACACACCACAGTTTTTTTGCTTATTTTCCCCAAAAACAAACCCTCTTAAGGAGTTTGCTGCATGTGTCCCAGAATTGTTTTGTCACCCAAAGGAGCAGCATGACTGGAGTTTGCTAGGGTCAAGGGACAGGAACTGGGGATACTTGGAAGCAGGAGAGCCTAGCTATCTAACAAGGCACACGTTGGGAAGGTTGGACCACCAGTCAACTCCAGCCCCAACTCTGTCAGAGAAAAGAACCACAGGAAAAGATGGCACTCACCCCCCAAAATAACAAGGAACTGTCAAAAATCCAGATAGGGCTATATTTTCTTATCTTAGGGTCTAAATCAAGGGAGGGGCCAAGGGAATAGGAGAACTAAAGATACCATGTCACTTCTGCTCGAGTCACTTATCCATGTCCACATACCCCAAACACATCTCTTTCTGAGCAAGGGTTATCAGGGCTCATGAGGAAGGGCTGACAGGTTGACCACAACCCCACCGAAGGAGAACTCCAGGCTGGGAGAGGGAATGATAGCGGCAAGCAGAAAGCGTGGACTGCAGCTGCTTTCTCTCAAGTCTGCTGAGCCTTACGTCACAGCTGCTCATTAAGCACCCACTTGACGCCGGGGAAGTGAAACAGCCCAGACCTGGCACCAGAAAGAACAAATGTGGCACCCACTGCTCCTTTTAAGGACTGGCTCAAGAAGCAGCAGGCCTCAGGGCAGGAGGTGAGGCAAACACAGCAGTACCTTCGCAGGAGAGGGAGGGGACGGCTCAGGGCTGCCTCCTTCTTAACAAGCTCTCCAGGGCAAGTTCTGTGGCAACTGTCAAAAAATAATGGACAATGCAGCCTTTTTCCCTTTTCTTACAAACACTAGGGACACTGTTTCCTCTTCCCCCAGCAAAGCAGCTGGCTTCAACCAAGAGAAAGGGTCAAAAGGCACCTCGATAACCATCTGTCAAAACAGAAATACCCTACCCATAAGTTACAGCATCAGAGGAAAAGGCTGGGCCAGTGGTTCCGACTTCAGCGTGCATCAGCCTCACCTGGAAGGCTGGTTACTGGGAAGAGAATACTGGGCTTCGCTTCCTGCATTTCTTCTCTACTTGGTTTGGGATGTGGCCTAAGCTGTCATCATTCTAACACATTCCCGGGTGACGCTGGTGCCGTTGGTCTGGGCACACTGGTGTAAAGTTTACCACCTACCCCTTCACATTTCTTTCTGTGCATCATATTGCCTGAGAGACAGATATTCCCTTGAAAATATATAACTTCATTTCTACACGTTGTACTTTTATTCCCAAGATCTCAAAGCCCTTTCATATGTAAAACCTCCATTTGCTCTTGGGAATTCCATTTGGTTAGCAGAAAAGAGAGAGGTAAAGGGCCTTAACTAACACCATTGTTGAGTCCCCAGGCTTCCTATCTTCCAGTTCAGGGGTCCCTCCCAAGAACACACCGTCTCCCCGCCCAAGGCCTTGAGATGCTGTGAGCTGTCTATACCTCTGAGCCTGGTTGCTGTGACTCTACACCACCCACGCTACCAGCAGGGAGCTGAGGGAGCAGGTGGGCCTCAGGGACACAGAGGTGGGGAGACCTCAACTAATGACTCTGAACACTGAGGTAGCAGAGAAAGGTATATGTATTTCAAAGGAAATCCTTGGTAATCAACACAATTGCTTTTTTTTGGACAAGCTGGTTTTCGGACTTTTAAGGCTCACTTAGCACACTGCAGACACCAAATAAAGATCTAAACTACATTAAAGTTCTTGAATTAAAGGTAATGGTTCGTGGAAAATATCCCTAAGGATATGAGCTAAAATCGTATTGCTATTTAACTGATAAGCTATGGCAAAAACAGAATACTGAAGTTAAAAAACAGGGTAGTTTGACAAGGGAAGACTTGCAGGCATGACTGAATTCCTTGAAGGTAATTTTCTGGTCCTTTAATGGTAGCTTAACAAATGTTGATAGAATTGAATGGGGCACAGGATCCAGTGAGGAGCACTGACCAGGTGGCTCCCATCCAGGGTGTTTCTGCACTTGGGGGGGAAAGCCTGGGAGAGTCTAGGTGAGTGGTAAAGAGAGGTTTGTTTGTTTGCTCTTTCAATTAGCTACTGAAGGGGACAAAAAGCATAATACAGGCTTTCTGGCAGCAGAAAACCACAAGATGTGTCAACAAGTAAAACAGATGTAACCAAAAAACTGTCGACAGAGCAGGTATGTTTATAGCTTAACAGGCTGCAGGGCTGGGATCTGGGAGACAGTGAATGGGTCACATATTCTGCAGGTCTGTAAGCACCATATGGAATACCGCTGTGGACTTCTGGCACCTGGAAAGAATGGGAAGACCAAGCCTGAGTCCTTTTAACTGGGAAATAAAAAACCCTGAGGCCAGAGAGACCAGTGTGGTTACGATTTGCAGGGGTTTCTTTAGCAACCTACCTCGTTCAACCAGATTATGGGCTGTGGATACAAGTATACAAGTAGATTATGACAGAGACATCACAATGATACTAAGGCTAATTCCATCCAACGTGTTGATCAACTCAGTACCCACTGCCAGGCGCTGAGTGAGTGCTGGTCAAAACAGGCAAAGCCACTGCAGTTTCTCCTTCCCCAGAGGGAGATGGAAAACAAAAAGTATAGCTGCGGCCCTTTTGTTATTGAATTGCAATTCCAGAAATACCTCCATTCTCTGTAGACAGGAAAAGGAGGACAGTTATTACCCCCTTTAAATAGCTGTGGTAGCCCTAAAGCTTGCGACCTGACTTTTCAGCTCTCCTTAAACAAACATGTAGAAACAAGTAGATGCTCTGCATTCAGCATTTCAAGACAGGATATAAATACTCCACTAAAGAACACGCTATCTCAGAATTCCCCAGCGAAAACTGAAAAACAAGGTAGACAGAAAAGCTTCCAAAACATGGTCTTATACCATGTGAAAATCTAGAGCTATTAGGAAGAGAAGTATTTCTTATCTAAAAACCTCGGAGGAATACTTCATTGTACCTTAATGGGGAAAGTAAAGATACCCTCACAGACTCAGCCTAATGGGTTCCTTCCCTGACCCTCTACCCCAAAACTTTACTTTAGAAACAGGCTTATCTCTTTCTTCAAGTTCAGACTGTCAGGGAATAAATTAAAGTGCACCGTAACTTCTAATATAAGCAAACACCTAGAAATGGTCCTGGTAGTCCTGGAGCAAAGCCGTTGAAGGAAAGTGACCCCCTTTGCACACATCTCTCCTCCCTGGCTTAAAACCTCATGGACGATTTTGCAGCTGATTTCTATCTAACCCTTGGATATAAAGCTATTCAGACTGCTCCCCAGCCAAGCAGGCCCTGTCTCATCCGCCAGCAGGCTCCCACTGTATATATTGCTCGATGTGCCCAACATGTGAAACTGCCGTGGGCAGCTGCAGAAGCCACATGTCACTGTCTGCAAAAAGGAGGGGCCGACCAAAAGAGCCTCAGAAACTCTTTCACTCTCCTTCTGCTCTGCCTTACCAAGCCCTCTCTCAGAAAGCCATTGTGTAGGCTGAAGAGGGAAATAAAAGACGGGCGGGCTTTTTTCATGCCTCCCTGCAGACTATAAGGTAATGTAAAAGAACAGTAGCTACCCCTCAACAGCTCTGCTGAAGTACAGGCCTCAGGGGGCCCCACTGACACTGGCTTCTCATTCCGGATTTATACGGGGCAGCATTGTCTAATAATGAGCTGAGCTCAATTGCTTACCATGTATTTTGCAGCATAACTAATCCCTTATATTTGTGCTTTTCACCCACGTCTTTCTTGTTTGCTTGAAGGAGAGAAAAAAAAAAACCCTCACCTTTGAAGCAACCTACACCTCTCAGCCATTTGGTGCTCTTGCCTCATCCATGGTAGACAAAGCTTACGCTTGCCCTTCTGGTGTTAGTACTTGAGTTATCTAGAGGCCAGTGGTTTAAAGGTGAGGACAATGTTGCTATCAGGCAGCTTATCCTCACCTTGGTGCTTAGCCAGCTAAATGTTTAAATCTTAATATTCATGCTTACTGGTCCCTTCGCTTTGACAGTTAGGCATCTGCTTCTGTAAAGCAGAACTTTTTCTCAGCCTGCTTAAGGTTGGCAAAAGGTGGCTGAGCTAGAGATCACTGTTCTTGTCACTCTGGACTGCTTCCCTATTAAGATGGATTCTGCCACCCTTCACTAATCAATTCATTCAAGCCATCAGGCACTGAGAACAGCAGGGCAATTGCTTTTTCCTCCGCAGCCTATTCATCACCATCCATCCATCACACCTCAGACCACTTACTCCTCCAACCTCTACTCCTTCTCCATAAAGCACAGTAAGAGAAATGATCAACTTACACAGGCTTAGGCAGAGTTCTTAGAATGTATTTTTGTTCACCTGAAAAATAAAACTTTTAAAAAATATACAGGACTTTTTCAGTACAGGTATATCTTAAATGGCTGAATTATAAATAATGTCTCTGGTCATGTTCACAGCTAGGGCTGGAGCAAATGTCCCAATTCCAGTAAAGGCTTTGGAGAGTCAGAAGGCCAGCAGCTGGACCTATGAGTGGCCTTTCTAGACTCTGATCCATCCCAAAGTGAATTTAAACAGTCCAGAAAGCAGGGATCAGAAAGGGGACAGGGAAGTGGACTCCCAGATGTTCTACAAGTTCAAAGGATTCTTGGAATA